TGTATTTTTTTTAGATTTATCATCTTCCTCGTCTTCAGACTCGTCATCAGATTCCTCGGTAGCTTCTTCTTTCGCTGGCACATCAATATCGTTTTTCCAGACTGCTTTTGCATCCTTACCAGTATGTGTTTCAAGAAACTCCATAAATAAAGGATCATCCTTGTGCTAAATCCAACATAATTGCAGACAATTTAATAAACAATTTTCTCTTAACTGACAGAAAGAATACAAGTTAAAATCTATTAATTTAAAAAATTAGAAAATAATTATATATACCTTCTCGAGTGCTTTCTTAACTTCATCACTCTCCTTTTTGTCTGCCTTTTTCTTTTTCTTCTTTACGTCACTTTTGTTCTTAGTTTCCCCTATATCGTTCTTTCCCGCCGAATCTATCGGTTTCCCTTTTGACTTAGCGTCAGACGTTTCATTAGCTTTGTTGTAAGAACTGTCATTTGCATATTTGCTCCACGATCTTGGCTTTGAAGGGTCACCTAAAATATCATACATACAAAATCACGTTCACATATCATTTTATAAAATTGTTAGATTACTAGATAACATAATTATTTATAGCTGTACGTACCTAAATTTGCACAATGCTCAACAGATATTATACAAGTATCGATGCACGTTTTATCAAAGTAGGTTTGCGCCAATTTCGCCTGTTCCTCTGTTTTGTAGCCAATAAATGCAAATCGTCGAAACTTGCCATCTTTGTACTTCAATTGTACATCGGTCACAATGCCCTTTTGACTGAATAATTCTTTCAATTTGGTATCCGTGACCTGTGCAAAATAAAATATATACATATAAATATAAATATATATTACATATTACATTAAATAAAAAGATATCAGATGATTTCATCTACGTACACCTTTCGGCAAATTTTTCACTATTAAACGGGACATTCCGTCTTGTCAATGATTTCCTATGTCTAGAAATAAATCTTCTCGCCTATGCCCGAAAATAAAAATTGTATATCCAGCAACATATGCAATTTTTGTTGCACAAGAAGATCAAAGTTATCCACGAGCGCACGTGGAAACAGGTTATGTTTCTTCGAACACGTGGGCGCGTCTTCGTTGTGATTGGTGGAAGACGTCCGAAGGGAAAGATTTAAATCAGGGACATTGAATTATACTGTTAGAAATTCTACAATGAGCAATTTTGCCGATTTCAATTAATTATACGGATTAAATCAATCGTAATTGGAATTAACCCCTAATAATAGTACCTTGTCGATAATATATTTTTTAGTGTCAAACTTTCTGCACCGGTGCAGAAAGTTCAACTGCAAAGAACAGACCTATATGATTTGACGTTTTCATCGGAGTTTTCAGGTTTTCACCTCGGTCGGGAAGCGCAATCAATCGGCGATTTCTGTATTAGCAAACATGGCGCGCGGGAGTAGTGCTGGTTTTGACAGGCATATCACGATCTTTTCGCCGGAAGGCCGGCTTTACCAAGTAGGTAAGGATCAGAAAATATATCTCTAAGCACGACAGGAACAATTATCGTACTATCGGCGTCCCCGCGCTGGTCTGGATAGTGTGGATCGCCTAACCTACAATGTGTACGCCGATGACTTGGCGTGATCCGCATTTTGAAACTTGTTAACGTGTGTCTCTCTCTCGTATTTCACGCAGAATACGCCTTCAAAGCCATCAATCAAGGTGGCCTGACGTCAGTAGCCGTCAAAGGGGACGGGACGGTCGTTTTCGCGACACAGAAGAAAGTGCCCGTAAGTTAACCTCCTAAGGATCTTTTCACCTGAAACTCTGATCAGAAACTTGCTCAATTTAGCGTTTTTCATTTTTTCGCGTATCTTGTCGACTTAAATTTTTGTTGGAAATGATCGCCCAATACTTAGAAATACATGGTTCAGATAATATTCATATTTATGTAATGTCCAAGTGATACATTGTTTTCCTTTACAGGACAAGTTGCTCGATGCCTGCAGCGTCACCCATGTATTTCAGCTGACCGAGTACATCGGTTGTGTCATGACTGGTATGATAGGTGAGTTCGGATAACTTTTGACCGTGTCGAAATCCTACGCTATTTTTCAACTCCTCTATTCCACAGCCGACAGCAAGTCCCAAGTGCAACGCGCGCGATACGAAGCGGCTCATTTTAAGTATAAGTACGGCTACGAGATACCTGTGGACGCTCTGTGCCAGCGTATCGCCGACATTAGTCAAGTTTACACGCAGAATGCGGAGATGCGACCCCTCGGGTGTTCCATGATGCTCATCGCTTACGACAAAGAGAAAGGTCCGTGCATCTACAAGGCCGATCCGGCGGGATATTTCTGCGGTTATAGAGCCATTTCCGTCGGGGCGAAGCAAACGGAAGCTAATTCCTATCTCGAGAAGAAATTGAAGAAGAAACAGAATTACGATTACGACGAGACCATACAGCTAGCCATTACTTGTCTGTCTACGGTATTGTCTGTAGACTTTAAACCAACGGAAATTGAAGTGGGAGTTGTATCGAAGGACAATCCCAAATTTCGGTAATTGACGACATAATTTTGATTTTAATATTTCATATGCGTGTCAAATTTTTATTTCCACTGTCGTACTTATCTTTATTAACAATTTTTTTTGTTACAGCATACTGACCGAGCAAGAGATTGATAAACATTTAACCGCAATCGCCGAAAAGGATTGATAATATTGTAACACAATTCATAAGAAATAAACATGTCCTGCTTAATACAATTTTTTTTTACTTAATATATTTAACGGATTATGTATAAGATTAGGAATTCGTGCAGAATAAAATTCATCGAGCGTTACTTAATAAACGCTGTTGCGTTCATATCAAAAAGTTTTTATTTCCTTTATTATAGCATTAGCCTTAGTAATATTAAAATCCATAAAAATTAAAGTTATCCTTAATTACTTTCCTGCCGCAGTTGCCAGTGGATTCCTCAGAACCAAGATGACGGAATCGCCACGTAGAAACATCTTTGGAATAAATCTGTCTTTGTTTACCGGTTTGGCCTGTTTGCAGATATCGCAGTTAGTATAATATAAAAATTATTTATAAAAGATACTTATATTTAATTTTCAATTAATTTTTTGTCTGACTTTTTTTACAAGGAATGGAATATCTTTAATAGATCAGAATATTTATTACTTCTTGAAGCATCAACATCTGTTAATTATATTCTCTTCTTTCTAAATTTAAAACTTAATCAGCATAAGCTAATAATTTTTAAATATTAAAAATATAACTGCATATACAGCATAGGCATCAAATAATTGTCACTATCCAAAGTTTAAAATAAAATTATAGTAAATTTGAATTAATACCTTTCGGATTAGTCAATGACAAAATTAGATTTGAATAATTTACTAGAAGTACACGTGATTGTTATACATACCTTTTTCTTGCCTTTCCCCGTGCGTGGTAATTCCGTCCACATCTCCTTCACATTTTCCAAAACCATGTTGCAATGTCTGTCAAAGGCCTTTACTCGGCCCAATAGCTTTTTATTGTTCCTGCAATTTATTAACACTTGGGTATTATTCTTAACGGATTGCGTCAGAACTGAAAGAGGCCCGGTGTTAAATTCTTCTTCCTCTCTCTTCGCCAATTCCTCTGGCGTCATCTCGGATTTTGGTTTTGTCAGAGAAGACCTGATACCAAATAAAAAGAGATTAGTAATATATATTATATTAGTAATATATATAATATATGATACCGAAAATTCTTTGTCAATTTTTTACATGTCGTAGATAAGTGCTAATGCAAACAAATATAAGTTCGTGATTACACGCACGATCATATATATCGTTTTACGTTTATATGATCGTGATTACGCGTAATGTAATTAAGGTTATGTCTATAAATCATGATAAATTAACGTTAAATATCAGAATTTGAATAAAATTGTACAACATGTATATACAAAACAAGTTCTTAACTTACATGTTGTGACGTTTCTGTTAAACAATATCGATTATTATCAATTCTTTCGCGATTGAAAGCTCCAGGCTCCAGGACGCTCCTTATTTTCCAATGTTTTCCAACGCAACGCAACGATTGTAGTGCTACCGTGCGACCACCTAGGTACTACGTAGCCACGTTCATTTTCCGACACTGCCGATAAAACATCATTTTAGTGCGTGTCCGTGCTACATATGTAATCTGCAAATGTATGTACATACATACATAATATGTAATTTATTGCATTTTATATAAACATATGATATAAATGTAATATCTCATAAAAATGTAACATCATAATAAATGTGCAGAATATCTCATAATAATAAATATGTATATGTATATATGTAAATATCTCAATTCAAATTTTTTGTATTTTATAATTCTGTACCTATACTTTCTATTTTTTACGTCAAATAGATTAAAAAATTATAAATTGTAATGATATACATTGTTATATATTGTACATTGTACGACAAGAAAAAAAATAAATAAAAAAGCACATATATATCCAAAGAAAAGAGAACCGCCAATATATAAAAGTTGGCGGGGGTGGTGGAGGACTAAAATTAAGTAAAATTAAATTGTGCATTATCAGATGAAACCGCGCAATTTGCAGATGTAGCACCAAAATGATGTTTTATGTCGGCAGTGTCGGAAAATGAACGTATATCAATTTCGAAAATGAATATATATACTGGCGATAATGTACAAGAGGCTTTCAACGGTCCCACGAAAAAGATCGGGATGGCCTGTTTCAGGTTTCTTTCTGGGCAAGGGAAGTGAAGCCGCAGGGTGATTATGATCACGTGGTGCACACATTAGATCTGTTTGTGTTCAAATTAAAAATGTTATATCAACAGATGTGTAAGTAAGTAAAAAAGACACATTTATATGTATATTTATGTTAAAATATAGAAATATATTAAAAATCGATAAATTACACTCCGATAAACAAAATATATGTATATTTACAAATGCAAGTATAACTTTGCGTAGTAATATTAATTTTGATAATATTTTACCTTAAAGAAATAAACAATAATTACAAATAAATTAAAATTTCTTATACTATATCACTATACTACCACGCAGTTACAATAATACTTATAATAGTAAAGTGTGTATATATAGGTACATGCATAAAATTAGTTAACATATTTATAGTTAACTATATAATTTACATGCATATTTGTAATTATATATAGTTATATAATTATATAATATATAATACATAAATAGTTATAGCATGTAAAAATTAATAAATTTTTACTTGTGTTATAGAATTGTTATTTTTTCTTATTACATTTTCTTTGTTCTTGGGAATCTCAGTTGATAAATTTTAAGGAATAAAATACACGGGATCTTAATATAAAATTTATAAAATTTAATTAAATATAAATTAAATCTAAATTAAATATATATATTAGGTACTTCTCAGAAAATTAGAACATGCAAGAAAATTCTATTTTTGAAAGAATGATTGTAACATTTCGCATTGGGTTGGTTAATAATAAGAAAATTTTCAAAAAGTTTGTATGCTCTACTTCCGCATCTTCTTTCTTTAACATAAATTCTAATTTTCTTACCTTTCTTTTAACTTACTTTAATTTCTTTCAAATGTGACTTTTCCTTAGTAACGCTGTTAATAATGTCAACATTTGAACGTTTATATATTTTTCTTCTTCTTATATTGATGTGATTAATGTATTTTGCAATTATAACATTTTATAAGCAGTAAAACTTATTTTTATAAAATGTATGTAGAAATAATATATATATATTATAAACATACTTGAAGAATAGCAAATTATTAATTTATTACTCGACTATAACTGCGGCCCATATAATTAATTGCTGTTTAATCACTGGCTGACGAAGTTATTTTCTATATGTGTGAAGAATTATTTATTTCCTTATATAAGTAATTAGTCTTTCAAGAAAATCATAATATTTGTAACAAATATTATGATTTCCTTGGAAAAAAAATATATAAAAATATATAAAAATAAAAATATATAATATATAATAAAAATATATTTTTATTTGTTGATACTTCTGTATGTATCATATTATTTAGTAAATCTATATTAAAATAATTATTATGAAATAATGAAAATAATAACTAAAAATTTAAGAATAATTAATATACAGGGTGTTCAAAAAAGTACCAAATTTTAAGAGCATGTAGTATTCGTCAAAACAAACTAAAAAGTAGTTTCTCCTGGACGGCCTTGCGCACGAGACAATTCTGGCACGTGTACTGTGCAATGCCAGGCAAGTAAAATTGTTCTGCTATTCGCGCAATTATTTTGGATGTTCCCATGCAGATATCCAAATATCTATAGCTGTAAGTGCATGGTAGCGGTTCGAGATCATGGTCTGTTGTTCCTTGGGGATGCACTCTTTCCACTATCCCTTCGCCGGCTTTCTTCAAAGTCGAAGTTGTGCACATGCTTGAAGAATGAGTCGCCTTTTATCCTGATGTCCGGTACTTCCTGGGATGCAGTCTTCGCGGAGCGTTACATATATATTGGTATCGTGACCACTTTATAGTTTGGCTCGGGTCCCAGGTTAACGTAACAGGCCATCTTGTTGAGAGTGCCCTTCCGGATTGATTGTCGGATGATAATAATGAGATGGTATCCTTCTAGACAGTCACGCATCCGCTTTATGTCCTAGACAGCCAGATACTCCAGTCTAGATAATTACACGTTTAGCCTTATTGAGCGTGCGGTTTGCGTACGCGATCATCCGCTCTCCTTCGGGATGTATTGCGTTTAGGACGGCCATAAATCCTGTTGGACATCTGTCTGTAGAATGAACTGCCGCGTGAAGTCGGGATACATTATCTGTCTTCGGTGGTTTCCTTGGCCTGTTTACGTACAAATGCGATAAGCAGAACGGTAATGATGGCGAATCTTTCAATAACCAAGATACCACTCCCAGGAAATGTCATATTTGCCATACGCCCTATGGAACGGGCCAGTTGGTGATGACACTATAATCTTCTCAGGTCGGTCCGGATGTCCTCGCAGTAAATGATAGTTAATGCAATTGATGCAAAACTGGCACTTGTCGGAACTGAGTCGAAAGCGCGCTTTTCGGAGCCAGTGGAATACTTCTTGTAACACGCAGGGGTTGAAGGTCCGGCTATAAACGATGATATCGTCTAGGCAGGCAAACACCGTTGAGTTCCAGCTCTGGTGTCCAATAATTGGAACGTTACGGAGACAAAGTGCAGTCCGAACGACCTGTGAATGAGAACATGACCCTGAATTGCATCAGACTTTTGCCCGAGCACAATAAATGTGGTAATCTTTTTGCTTTTCGAAGATAAAGGCACTTACCAATATTCGTTTTTTAGGTCCAGTATTGAAAGATACCAAGCTCCCCGCAACTTATCGAGTGTCGCAAAAATCCGTAACAAGGGATATGCGTCACTTCATTGATATGTCATCGGAAGTCGATAAAAAATCGGGACTTCCCATTCTTCTTCCCATCCTAACGATAACTACTTGCATTGACTTTATACAATAATTACTGCTTTATTAAGTATTATAGAAAAAAATGACTCAAGACTTTTCGACTTAATTTTTGATTTTAAGAAAAATTGCTGTACAAATAGTAAGCGCAAATTAAGTGACAGCCTGTATATTTTATTATGATTCGAGTAAAAGTTTTAAACATGTTACTTACATTTGCATGACATTGTTACAAAAAGTACAAAAATTAGAGTTTATAATAAATTATAATATAATAATTATTTTAAGAGAGAGAGAGAGAGAGATAAAAGTACCAATACTCGCCGGACACTTAAGAGTAGGTAAATGTACCAATACCTGGACACGTACCATGTCTGGATACCTTTAAAAAAATATAAATTTATGGAAATAACGATTTGGATATTATAACTAAAGTTTCAAACTACAAGAAAAAATATTTTTATCTCTGATTTTAATTCGCGTTATACATTATACTTATGAATAATAAAGTCCAGATATAGGTATATGTCTGGGTATTTTTACCTTATAGACTACTTGATCGTTAATATGCATCAAAATACGAGAAAAATTTTTTTTTGCAAGATTAATAAGCTGATCCGCATTACACGGTATGTTCCACATTACACCAAAATCTACCCTCGAAAAAACTGATATAATATTAAACTTACTATAAATAAACAAAATTTGATAGGATACCTTAAGGTATTATTATGATAATCATCATCACAAACATTTAACATTACAACCTAATAAAAACTAAGTTCGGATATATATCTTTAATAGTTCTCAAGTTATCTTAAGCACGACTTAAGGTACATCCTATAATACCTGCACTTTCTCTACAGCGTTTTAACATCATGATGGTGATTTAAAACTGCAAGACAACGCGAGAGAATCATCAATTCTTTTCATCGTAGCCGCAATCAAATCATGTTTGTAACAGATGTTGCCTCTCGTGGTCCTAAATATTCCCTACATCCTATATCAATTATAACACCACAATCGCAAGCTGACTATATCCCTCGCATAGGCAAGACTGCACACGCTGTAACTGAAAGATAGGCATTATCTTTTATTACATCTCAAAATAAGAAAAGTCTGCTTATACTTTCAGACAAAACAGGACAGCCACATTTTGATTATAATGCGCAATTTAAAAAACGCAAATGTAAAAAGGTACTTTAAGCGGCTAAATGCACTGAAAACCAAATATGGTAAGAAAAAGACCAATACTTTTAAAGAGAGAAAAGCAGAACGCCACAAAAGGTATATCCTTCTACGTTTTTAGAAATTCAAATATAAAAAGTAAGAAAAAGTGACTTGAAAAGTGGTATTAGACAGAACTTACAATTGGTCACAAAGCAAATAAAGAATTAATAGATTTAATTTCCATTCATCTAATTTCAACTATTCCAATTAAGTAAGATGTTACAATGCCTAAAAATTTTAAATGTTCTGAACGTGTTTCGTAGCACCTTTATTAATTCATATATTTATAAAATTCATAAATTGGAGTGTTATTAAGGTTTAGGCAGTATGGTGGTATATAGCCCTTATCATATAACTGTCAAAACAATTAAGAGAATTAAAGTAGAATTTATAGTATGACGAAAAGATAGAAATATTTTGCTAACTCTACTCTTCATAGCAAATCACTGAAGCTCAATTTCGTAAAAATCATTAACTTAATTGTTACGTAATATTTCAACAACGTTACAGTTTTAAACTTTTAACGCCTCTCTCTATATAATATTAACAACTAATTGTTAATTTTTATTTGGCATTTGTAACAGTTAGCATTTTTAACAATTTACTCGCAACATTCTTGTGCCTATTAGCTACAGCAACTTGCAATAATGTATTTCCTTGATTATTACGAGCATTTGTTACAACTACAAACTCATCAGGTTTTACCGCTTTTAATTTGCTGATTATTTCAAGGTTACCATTTTTTGCATCTTTAAACATTTCTTCAACTAGCTTCAGTAAGTCATTAACATTTCGGTCCTTAGAAAGATCAAGAGGTGTTTTGCCTTCATTATTCTTAATGTTATAAATTGCACCTCGCTTCAATAAGGACTTCGTAATAGCCAAAAAACCATTCTTGGCTGCGACGTGAAGCGATGTAGCACCGCTAGCAGCGGTTTTAGCATTTATGAAATTGTTTAATTTATCATGACTTACATGTTGTAATAAAACTTCAACAAATTCTTTGTAACCTTTAAAAGTAGCAGTGTGTAATGGTGTGTTACCTTTATTAGTAACTCGAGTAACATCAGCTCCGTTTTCTAGTAAGATGTTCACAACACTTACCTGGCCACTGTTAACAGCGTAATGTAACGGTGTTCTTCCATCAATGTCTTTGTCATTGACATCAACTCCACCTTTTAATAGGCGACGGATAGCTTGTATATTACCATTACTAGCAGCAATGTTAATGTCTTTCTGCAGATACTCGAGAATTTCCGATCGATCGTCATCTATAAACTTAAGTACAATCTTAATATGTTTTATCTTTTTTAAAATATCCAAAACAGTGGGATGACTTGGTCCAAAAATAGCTTTGAGTTGGTTAAAACATTCTTTGAAGGTTTGAAGTGCACCAATCCATTTACCTTGTTCAAAAAGTACTTTTGCTATGTTGTATTGAGTATGCAAGGTATTAGGGTTATTTCGTCCTAAAACATTTATCTGGATATTAAAAACTTCTTGAAAGGCTTTCAGGGCTTCATGAAATTTTTCTTGATGGCAGAGTGTTACAGCAATGTTTTGTAACGTTCCCAAAGTACTCGAATGATTAACACCAAAAACCACTTTCGTTTTCTCGTAAACCTCTTTATAAAGTTTCAATGCCTCTTCAAACTTACCTTGAGCAACTAGAATCTCATCAATGCATTTACCATGATCAAAAAGTACATTTGCCATGCTGTATTGAGTTTGCAGGGTATTAGGATTATTTGGTCCTAAAACACGTTTCTGGATATCAAAAACTTCTTGAAAAGTTTTCAAGGCTTCATTAAATTTTTTTTGATGCCAGAATGTTGCAGCAATGTTTTGTAACGTTCCCAAAGTGTACGAATTATTAATACCAAAAATCACTTTCTTTTTCTCGTAAACCTCTTTAAAAAGTTTTAATGCCTCTTCTAACTTACCTTGGTCAATCAGAATCCCTGCTATATTATTTTCAATACACACTTCATTTTGGTGATTTGCACCATGAATTTCTTTGTTTCTTTCAAGAACTGTTCTATTGATATTTAACGCTTCTTCGTGTTTGCCTTGTTTCTCTAATACGATTGCCATGTGACAGTAAGTTTCTAATGTATCTGAATGATTTGGTCCTAATAATTCTTCTTGTTTTGGACAAACTTCTTGATAAATATTAAAAGCTTCTTCATTCCTTCCAAGCCTATACAGCACTAAAGCAATTGTACTTCTTGTATGTAAAGTATTTTTATCATTCAAACCCAATATTTCCTTCTGTTTCTGGAAAATTTCTTCAAATGTGTTTAAAGCTTCTTGGTAAGCCTCTTGTGTATACGATACTTTGCCTATGTATTTCTGAATATCTAAAGTGCCAGGATTATCTGACCCTAGTATTTCTTTTCTTTTTTCATATGAGCTTTTAAACAAACTTAAGGCACCCTGATTATCACCTTGATTGAGAAGCAATAATCCCATTTTAAACTGAATGGATGCATCAATTTGTGATACATCTTTCAACAGTTCGACTTTTGAAAAGTTACTATGCACTGCAGCAACTACTAACGTTTTATATTCTCTATCGCAAGCATTCATTATTGCTCTTACTGTATCAATATCCTTTATCTTGTTAAGATCATTAATAACTTGAAAATTATCATTTTTAACATGTTTAAATGAGTCACTCAATAATTTAAATAAACTAGTTATACTTTTATCTACAGTAAAATCTGATGGTGTTTTACCATCATCAGAAACTGCATTATACACTGCACCATTAGACAATAGGAGCTTTACAACTTTTAAGTGAGAGAACTTAGCAGCATAATGTAGAGGGGTAAACCCCTTATTATTAACTGCATTAGGATCAGCTTTGTTTTGTAATAGAATATCGACAATCTTATCATAACCTTTCCATGCAGCATAATGTAATAATGATGTTCCATTAATATTTTTGGCGTTAACGACCGCACCTGCTTTAATGTAATTCTCAACTTCTGAAAAACCATTACGTTTTACAGCCTTAAACAATTTTTCAGTTACCGTTAATAGGCTGATAACGCTTTCGTCATCAGACATTTCTAAAGGTCTTGTAAAAGAATTGTCAACAGCGTTATAAACTGCTCCATTTTTTAATAAAACTTCAATAAAGTCTACATAACCGAAATTAGCAGCAACATGCATAGGAGTTAAACCATTATTAGCATCTTTAGCATTAACGTCAGCACCTTGTGATATCAAGTACTTTGCAACTTCTAAATGTCCTTTCATTGCAGCAAAGTGTAATAATGTCTGATTAAATTCACCACGGTCATTAATACTTAACCCCTTACTAAGAAAAAACTCTACAGTATCCTTATAACCTTCTCTAGCTGCGATATGTATAGGTTTTGAACCAGAGGCATTTTTAGCATTAACATCAGATCCCTTATCTACTAGATATTTTATCATCTCTAAGTTACTTTCTTCTGAAGCAATATGCAATATCGTATAATCATCGTTACGTTTAAAAACAATATCTATTTTCTCGCACTGCATTAACAATTTAACTACTTGTAAATGACCGCGTGCCACTGCTAATTCGTCAGGTGTTCTATTGTCATTATTCTTAACATTAATATTTGCTTTATTATCCAGCAAAACTTTAACAACATTATCATGACCATTTACTGCTGCCAGATGTAATGGTGTAACATTTTCTGTAGATTTAACATTAACATTAGCACCACCTGCTATTAAAATTTGAACGATTTTCTCATAACCCTTTTGTGCTGCAAAACATAATGGTGGTAGATTATTATAAGTTATGGCATCAACATCAGCTTCTCTTGCTATCAGAGCATTATGACCTTTACCAGCAGTCAAATATAATAGATCAGCAATTTCAGAATCTTTCATATCAACATAGGTTTTTTCTAGCAAAATTTCTGCAATATCACTGTATCCAGCAAGAAGTGACAAAGATTCAATGCCTTCTGCGTTAACATTAGCCCCACTTGCTATAAGAACTTCCACGATTTCTCTGTAATTACATTGTATAGCAGAAAGCAATGGTGTCATGTTGTCATCGCTCTTAACATTAACATTGGCTCCATTTACTGCCAGAATCTCAACGATTTCTTTATTACCTGCTTGCACGGCTTTATGTAATGGAGTATTACCTGCAAAATCTCTTGCATCGATTTGGGCTTTATTTTTTATTAAAAGATTAACAATACCTTTGTGGCCTTCTACAACAGCAGTGTGTAATGGAGTAAAACCATTAAAAGCTCTAGTGTTTACTTTAGCTCTATATTTTATTAAAAAACCGATAATATCTTCACGGCCGTTAAGAGTAGCAAGATGCAATGGTGTCATACCACTATAAAATTTAGCTTTAACCTTAGATGTAACCTTAAATGTAATATCTTTTATCACAAGATCAATACCGTCATAAGAATTAGCCTCAATCTCAGCTTGACTTTTTATTAAAAGATCAATAATGTCTACGCATCCGTTCAGAACAGCTGCATGTAGTGGTGTCATACCACCAAAAGATTTAGCATTAACATTAGCTTTATTTTTTATTAGAAGATTAATAATGTCTCTGTGGCCTCGCATTGCAGCTGCATGTAATGGCGTAAAATCAGTAGTGGTTTCATTAACCTTTGCTCCATTTTTTATTAAAACTTCAGCAACTTCCTTATGACCACCAACTGCCGAGCAGTATAATGGTGTAAAATTATGGTGAGCCCTAGCACAAATGTCCACACCATGTTTAAGTAGAGCAACAACTATTCCTAGATGACCATTCTGGGCAGCAATATGCAATGGAGTATAACCTGTAATAGTGGCAATACTAGCGTCGGCTTTATTTTTCAGTAGAGCTTTAACAATTTCCTCGTGTCCATCTTTTGCCGCAAAGAGCAAAGGTGTACTATTGTGGAATTTGTTGACAGCATTAACATTAGCTCCATGCTTCAATAGAATATTTACTATCAACTTATGACCGTTTTCTACTGCATGGTGTAATGGTGTCCAACCATTTATTTCTCTAGCATTAATATCAGCTCTTTTGAAAATTAAAGCATTTACTATTTCCAGATGGCCGTATAACGCTGCTATATGTAACGGTGTCCAATCTTCATCATTTCTGACGTTAACGTCTGTCTTATTTTGAAGCAAGAAATTAACTAACTCTAGATGACCTCTCTTTGTAGCAGCGTGCAACGGGGCAAGACCACCTATAGTTTCATTGATGTCAACGTTTCTATCTTTTTTCAGTAAAATTTTGGTCACATTGATATGATTATTATGTATTGCATAGTGTAAAGGTGGAAAACCATTTTTATCTTGGGCACTAATATTCGCTTTATTTTTTAATAAAAATTTAATAATATCCTCGTGACCATATTGAGCAGCAACATGTAGCGGTGTTCTGTCAACTTTATCCAGCTCATTAACACATAAACCTGCTTTTACAAAAAATTCTACAATATTTTTCCTTCCATGGGCAGCAGCAATATGCAATAAGCTTTGACCATTAATATCTTTCACATCAACGCTTAAATTTTTATCAAGAATGAATTTTACAACTTCAAGACTGGGTCCCTTAACAGCAAAATGTAACGTGGTCCAAGAATCAACACTTCTAGCATTAATATCTGCTCCTCTTTTTAGACAGTCCTTCAAGCTTTCTAGATTTCCTTCTTCCAAAGCAGCAAACATTCTTTCCTGATTAGTAATGGTATCTAAGTCTTGATCGAATTTCTCTTTCACCTTGAAGGAATTATCGCTTATCAACTTGCCAATTTTTTTCTTGGTTTTTATTATATTTCCTTCGGTAAGTTTTTTAGCGTTCAAAACAACTGCTATTGAAGGATCAGATAACATAACGTCAACTAAGGGATTATCATGCGCTAAATGATTACGTAAACATTTTCCAGTTAACAAAGGAGTGTTATCGTCTAAAGATAGTAAATTATTTTCCAAGTAATGCCCTGAGCTACCTAAAATTGACATTATATCTAGAACAAGCATTTCTACTAGTGTTTGCAATTTTTGATCATTCTTGAAGGAAGGTAATTTTTCAATTAATTGGTCACTCAATCCGTTATTACTTAAAATACTTTTCAGTTCAGATAGCTTCAAAGTAAGCTTATTATATTCTTCTTCTGTTATATCGTAAGTCTTCCTTTGTTTATAAGTAGAAATAAACGAACCGTTTTCATTCAACATTCCTCTTAATTTCTTAATCCATCTGATATTACTTGTTCCAAATTCAGGAATATAAAAAAAAATTTTGCAAATTAATGTGTTTACTCTAGCAAGTTCGTCATCTCGTATTCTTGATCTAACACTACGAAAAATTTTCATTACCAACTTAGAAATTTCGTTAAGACTATGAGGCTTTATTTTCAAAGTCATATTCTCTAATATTTGATTAACAAAATCTTTTATTTCTCTAAAATCATAATTGCCGTCAAAGTTAAGATTTTCACTCAAACTGATTAAGAACTTTATTAATTTATGTCCTGTAATATAATCAATTTGGATATTTTCTGACAGAGTTTCTGCACAACTGATTATATTATTAATTTCATTAAACAGCTCCTCTTCATAATTCGTCTTGTCAGTTATATTATCACTTAATTCTTTAATAAGTTTTTCAAACTTCTCGTGTTCCATCATTTTAAAATTTTCCTGTATTATTTCATCCAATTTAACATTACTGAATATTTCAGCAATTTCTTTTATCTCACCTAAGCTTTCGCTATCAGCAATTCGTTTTAAAAGCATTCTGAGCGTTTTAATCTTCTTACTGTAAAGAATATCAGTAATTACAATATCGATTCTTTTAGTATCATTTTGAACACCGATAAAAAAACTACCATCTGTATTTTCCTCAATTTCTGTTCTCTTAGAGAGTGAATAAGCATGTGATAGTGAATTACGTAAATCTATAATTATTTGTCTTGTGTTTTTTGGTAACGATAATAGCAAAAGCTCACTTGTATCATTAGATAACTTGGGTGATTCTAATGTGTTTTTTAAATGCTCACCGATAACCTGCAAAACCCTTGTAATAATTAACTGTCCTTCCCTTTTTTTAGGATCAACTGATAACGCCAGCTTAATATTATCACTTATTTTCATTAAAGAATGGATATCCCTAATTTGTTGATAATCGTCATACAACTCTTCAAATTGAGGATAACTGCTAATAATCTCTGCAACAACTTTCTCGCGTTTTAACTTTGGAAAATCAGCAAATTTATCAATATTTACACTTCCTATATTATCTTTTATATCTTCAAGTTTCTTTGCAAAATTTTCTAGGTGATTTAGTATTTTGCTTTTATTCAGCGTAGCATTATAAAATAGATTAATTTCTTGGCGTTTTGTGTGAGAGGAAACAAAACTGACTAAACAAAACTCCATTTCTTCCCAAGGTAATATATCATAGGTTGATTTCAACTGCCGCTTTAATATATGAATATTTTGTGCAATAGATTTTGCTACAAATAAAGCCCTTTTATCTGCTTTTTCCGCGTTTGAGTAATCTGTTTTTAATAAGTTAATGTTTTGAAGTGTTAATTCAATCCGTTCTCTGATGTTAACACATTTCTGCACTTTTTTATCTTTTCGAGAAATATTAGAGAAGAAACGGAGGTTTACTAACTTATTTTCGACAAAAATTTCTATTTCGTCTGATAATGGTACGTTTTTTAACTTTAATTCTTCATAAGCTCTTGAAAGGATTGTATCCAATTCTCCCAAATAAACAGCAAAATAATTACCTGGCCATTTGCTAATGAGTGTATCAAGAAGCTCAATATTGCACGAACGTATAGCATAATAAAAGGCATTATGGCACGTTTCATCTTTATCACCTGGTAGTATAGTGTTTCTTCCAATAACAACAGATAGATTATTTAGAATTTTACTATCACTATCAAATAGATACTCTAAAATTTTTACTTTATTATGTTTACAAGCTAAGATAACTAAATTAGTGCTTTTAACAGAGTTGCTGGCACTATCATAATAATCTCTCAAAGTTATTTGATCTTCTGCATTACTTATGTTATCAATTAAGTTACTTAATTTTTTTAAGCTATCAAGATTATTTTCTGATACTGCCTTTTCAAGTTGAGTTAGAACTTGGAGATAATGTTCTCTTGATTGTTTCGTCATATTTTTTGAATTCTCTTATAAATTCCTCCTTAAATTTAGAAGTAGATGATAAAAGTTTTGGCTGGTAAAAATTAGTATGCGCGTATACTAATTTGTATGCGGCCCCCTCTCTATGAACCTCTCTAACAATAAGATACAGTTATTCCAGCAGTAGGATAAAAAATTTATTTAATATTGCAAGAACAAAGAAACATCTTCGAATATGTCTGAATGAGCTAAAAACATGCTAACAACATTTTTAGATGATACTGGAAGTGATATAAAAAAGAGTGAACCATAGGCATTAGAATAGGTTTGCCGGTAATGTTCAATAGACCTGCAATGTGCTGAGAGATATAAATCAGCTTTACATTTTTTCAGAACGCAAAATTAGTTAAATTATTTAAGTTCGTGTTTTTTAAACTAAAGTTATGACCGAACAAACGTTATAAATAATAAACATTAATTATAAATAATAAATAATCGTTATTGTTGCTCTTCATTTCACCGCCAAAAAGGACCCCTCTGATTGATAATCTTTTCTTTTTTTGTTACAGGAATACGTTCCGGATTCGACGGCTCGCTCCACCAGGATCGGTTTAATCCCGTAAGAATATCGATTGTTCTCTGCAGTGACAGGTAAAAGTATTCCTCACAGTAGATAGTTAATTGTTCCACACAATAGAGAACTGTTATCAATTCACTTTCAGATATCAACGACACCCGGAATAACAGTGCGGTGCAAAAGAAATCGCACACGCACACTCAAACGTTTTACATGACTCACGTAATACTATCGGAAGTGTTCCGCAATGTCGCGTAACAACGCAATTGCAACGTACACTCGTAATTAATTTGATGTAAGTGGGTAATGATGGCTACACATTGTAAAAAATCTTACAACTCGGTATTAAATTGTTTTTCCCGGCAAGTGACCTTGATTTATTCCTAATCACAATCCCCACTTTGTGTTCTTGTAGTGACTCATACGTGTGACGCGCCTACGGATTACGTGCCAGGACGTTAAAAAAAACGCCTCGCGATAATGTCCGCTATGACGTTCTCCCAACACAAAAGACCTATATTGAATTTTATTACAAAGTAAATTCGCATTTCAATTAACGTATTAAGACGTAATAGCGTCACTCGAGTTTCAGTGGTACGCGCTGTCGCAGGGCACTGTCTCTATCGCGATAAGACTTACGTCCGCATACTGTGACTACTCCCGGACAAACAACTTTTATTGTTTAACTGCTTATTCACAATTATTTTTACACCTTACTAACTCACGTACGTAATACGCGCGGTTGCGGGTAAAGTGCCCGAATAGTTATACGAACGCCTCACGAGTCGTCCGCACGCTACGACGTTGTAACAGCAAGTGATGAGAATTTCACGATCACGCACGTCAAAGCAAAAACCATATCTGTTGTACAATTGACACTTCGGCACACTTCGGCAAGCTTTGAGAGGTGGAGAAGGACATATATGATCTGCTGTCTCCTTCTCTCCCGAGCTATAGCTGATGTGGTGATTTCGAATCTCGAGTCTCGAGTTGATGAGTTAACGATGCACGACGTTATTTATTTATTTCTAATTTATTAATTCTCTTCCTACCAGATTTTGATATATTTACAAGTATGCTGTTATAAAACTGAAATTTATAAATATAAAAGATATAAATATATAATTAAATAAATATTTATAAACATAAAAATAGACATTTAAAAACGTAGTGCATAAAAATTTAGTCTTGGCCAATATGCTTTTAAAAAAATTCTTACATTTAAAAAATTAAGTTTAGCGTAATATTTAAAGTTGCATAATAATAATTAAATATTAACTGTTAAGGAAAAATTATAGTTTATAGTTTTTTTACTCTTATTTAATTGATATTTTATTTATGTATAACGTAGTCGTACGTATTGCTCAACAGAATTGCGAGAAGGTGGTGAGCGATATCGATAACACGCTTCAGTCTTATGTGTTCTCCGCGATATATCATTTTTACATTTGATGACTTTAGAGATAAAATGCTATGAAGAAAGAATACACTCTCTGTTTGATATTGACACATTTTTCAGTAGGCCGACCGGCCAAAGATAGCGGTCTAGCAGTATATACACGTCTGTCTTTGGTGTCTTCAATCTTTGGAATAACCATATGCATATGTTGTTAATTGTTAATTGTGCGAGCGCGCTTTATTTGAATTTGAATAATAAAAACTGCTTGATAATTGTTATTGTTCTAATACCTGTGCCGAATGTCTTGACAATGCTTGAATGGATTTATCATTTATAGTTTTACCATATATATATTTTATTTTATATCGAATATTACGATATAATGATATTAATATTATAGTAAATAAAATTATAAGAAATATTATATTAATTAAATATTTAAAGAAAAATATTCAATTCAACACATGTAAGTGAAAATACAAATTTTATTTACTTTAAAAATATAGAAATATATTGATGTATAATCGATAAAGTACACATCGATAAAGCAATATATTAGACATTTAAAAATACAATATTGAATAGTGATATTAATTTCGATAATACTGTACTCGTTAAAAGACAAATAATTAAAAATAAATAAGATTTCTTATACTACTACGTACTACCAGTTAACATGTACTAGTTACATGCATATTTATAGTTAAATATGTAGGTACATACATATATAATTGGTAAACATGCACATTTTTAAGTAATTATGTAATTTACATGCATATTTGTAATTAATTATATAAATCATACGTAATTAGTTGACAAGCTTCATATTATAAGAATTAATTAATTTTTACTTGTGTTATAGAACTGACTTTTTTCTTATGTTTTCTTTGTTTTTTGAAATCTCAGTTGATAAATTTTAAAGTATAAAATACACGGATCCTAATATAAAATTTAATTAAATATACATTAAATATAAATTAAATATATATACGTCTTAAAAAATTAGAACATGGAAGAAAATTCCATTTTTTAAAGAATGATTGTAACATTTTGTATTGGGTTGCTTAATAATAAAAAAATTTTCAAAAAATGTGTATGCTTTACTTCTGCATCATCTTTTTTCTTTAACATAAATTCTAATTTTTTTACCTTTTTTTTAGCTTACTTTAATTTCTTTCAAATGTGACTTTTTCTTAGTAACGCTATTAATAATGTCAACAACATTTGAACGTTTATATATTTTTCTTTCTTCTAGATATCGATGTAATTTAATGTATTTTGCAATTATAACATTTTATAAGTAGCAAAACCTATTTCTATAAAATGTATATAGAAATAATGTATATATATTATATATAAACATACATAAAGAATTATTTATTTCCTTATCTAGTAATTAGTCTTCCAAGGAAATCATAATATTTGTATTTTTATCTGTTGATGCTTCTGTATGTATTATATTATTTAGTAAATCTATAATATTAAAATAATTATTATGAAATAATGAAAATAATAACTATAAAAATTTAAGAATAATTAATATACAGGGTGTTCAAAAAAGTACCAAATTTTAAGAGCATTTAGTATTCGTCAAAACAAACTAAAAAGTCTTAATTTCTCTTGCGGTTTCTCCTGAACGGTCTTGCGTGCACGAGACAGTTCTGGCACGTATTGTGCCAGGCAAGTAAAATTGTTCTGCAATTCGCGCAATCGTTTTGGCTATTCCCAGATATCCAAATGTCTATTATAGCTGTAAGTACATGGTAGCGGTTCGAGATCATGGTCCGTTGTTCCTTGGGGATGCACTCCTTCCACTGTCCCTCCGCCGGCGTTTCTTCAAAGTCGAAGTTGTGCACATGCTTGAACAGTCAGTCGCCATTTATCCTGATGTCCGGTACTTCCGGAGCGTTACATCTTGGAATCGTGACCACTTTAGAGTTTAGCGTGGATCCCAGGTTAACGTGACAGGTCATCTTGTTGAGAGTGCCCTTCCGGTATTTCAATTCGAAATCGTATTGTTGGAGTTTGAAGGACCAACGCCCCAACCATTCAGTCACGGACTCCAACATTTGGAGCGTAAGGACTGATTTTATCGGATGATAATAATGAGATGGTATTCTTCTAGGTAGTCACGCATCCGCTTTATGTCCTAGACAACCAGATGCTCCAGTCCACATAATTATACGTTCAGCCTTATTGAGCGTGCGGGTTGCGTACGCGATCATCCGCTCTCCTTCCGAGATGTATTGCGTTAGCTGCACGACCACAAATCCTGTTGGGCATCTGTCTGTAGAATGAACTGCCGCGTGAAGTCGGGACACATCTGTTCGATGGCTTCCTTGGCCTGTTTACATACAAGTGCGATAAGCAGGGCGGTGATGATGGCGAATCTTTCAATAAATCACCAAAATACCACTCCCAGGAACTGTCGTATTTGCCATAAGTCCTATGGAACGGGCCAGTTGGTGATGGCACTAGTCTTCTCAGGTCGATCCGAATGTTTTCGCAGTAAATAATAGTTAATGCAAATGATGCAAAAGTGGCACTTATCGGAACTGAGTCGAAAGCGCGCTTTTCGGAGACAGTGGAATACTTTTTGTACCACGCAGAGGTGTTTGTTGAAGGTCCGGCTATAAACGATGATATCGTCTAGGCAGGCAAACACGTTGAGTTCTAGCGCTGGTGTCCAATAATTGGAACGTTACGGGGACAAAGTGCAGTCCGAACGACCTGTGAATGAGAACATGACCCTGAATTCCATCAGACCTTATTTGCCTGAGCAGAGCACGATGAATGTGGTAATCTTTCTGCTTTTCGGAGATAAAGGCACTTACCAATATCCGATTTTTAGGTCCAGCATTGAAAGATACGAAGCTCCCCGCAACTTATCAAGTGTATAGCAAAGATCCGTAACAAGGGATATGCGTCACTTCATTGATATGTCGGAAGTCGATAAAAAATTGCGACTTCCCATCCTTCTTTCCATCCTAACGATAACTACTTGATTGGCTTTACACAATAATTATTGCTTTATTAAGCATTGTAGAAAAAAATGACTCAAAACTTTTTGACTTAATTTTTGATAAGAAAAATCACTATGTAAATAGTAAGCGCAAATTAAATGACACCCTGTATATTTTATTATGAGTAAAAGTTTTAAACATGTTACTTACATTTGCATGACATTGTTACAAAAAGTACAAAAATTAGAGTTTATAATAAATTATAATATAATATATATAATTATATATATATTAAGATAAAAGTACCAATAATTGCCGGACACTTAAGTGTAAATAAATGTACCAATACCTGGACACCTACCATGTCTGGACAAGACTTTAAAAAAATATAAATTTATGGAAATAACTGTTTGGATATTTTATAACCAAAGTTTCAAACAACAAAAGAAAATATTTTTATCTCTGATTTTAATTCGCGTTATACTTTTAAATAATAAAGTCTAGATATAAGTACATGTCTGGGTATTTTTACCTTATAGACTACTTGATCATTAATATGCATCAAAATACGAAACAAATATGCATCAAAATACGAAACAAATTATTTTTTTGCAAGATGAACAAGCTGATCCGCATTACACGATATGTTCCACATTACTCCAAAATCTACCCTCGAAAAAACTGATATAATATTAAACTTACTATAAATAAACGAAATTTGATAGGATACCTTAAGGTATTATTATGATAATTATTACAAACATTTAACATGACAACCTAATAAAAACTGAGTTCGGATATCTTTAATAGTTTCCAAGTTATCTTAAGCACGACTTAGGGTATCCCATAATACCTGCACTTCCTCTACAGCGTTTTAACATCAGATGGTGATTTAAAACTGCACAAACGCGAGAGAATCATCAATTCTTTTCATCGTAGCCGCAATCAAATCATGTTTGTATCTGATGTTGCCTCTCGTGATCCTAATATATTCCCTACATCCTATATCAATTATAACACCACAATCGCAAGCTGACTATATCCATCGCATAGACAAAGACTGCACACGCTGAAGCTGAAAGATAGGCATTATCTTTTATTACATCTCAAAATAAGAAAAGTCTGCTTGTACTTTCAAACAAAACAGGACAGCCAAATTTTGATTATAATGCGCAATTTAAAAAACGCAAAAGTAAAAAAGTACTTTAAACGGCTAAATGCACTGAAAACTAAATATGGTAAGAAAAAGACTAATACTTTTAAAGAGAGGAAAGCAGAACGCCACAAAAGTATATTTTTAAGTCTATATTTTTAAAAATTCAAATATAAAAAGTAAGAAAATGTAACTTGTGAAAAGTAGTATAAGACAGAAGTTAATCACATAACAAATAAAGAATTAATAGATTTAGAAAAAAATAGAATTAGATTTCCATTAATTTCGTCTAATTTCAACTATTCCAATCACGAAACATGTCATTATACCTTAAAATTTTAAATTTTTTGGACGTGTTTCGTAGCACCTTTATTAGTTCTTATATAAAAAAAGACTCTTGCATAAATTAGAGTGTTATTAAGGTGTAGGCAGTATGGTAATACATAGCCTTTCTGACCTTTCTCATATAACAGTCAAAACAATTAAATAAAGAAATTAAAGTAGAATCTATAGCATGACGAAAAAACAGAAATATTTTGCTAACTCTACGCTTCATAGCAAACCACTGAAGCTCAATTTCGTAAAAATCATTAACTTAAGTTACGTAATATTTCAACAGCATTACAGTTTTAAACTTTTACACCTCTCTCTACATAATATTGACAATTATCAATTTTTATCTAGCTTTTTTAACAATTAGCATTTCTAATAATTTACTCGCAACATTCTTGTGTCTATTAAATATAGCAACTTGTAATAATGTATTTCCTTCATTATTACGAGCATTTGTTACAACTACGAACTCATCAGATTTTATTGCTTTCAATTTGCTGATCATTTCAAGGTTACCATTTTTTGCATCTCTAAACATTTCTTCAACTAGCTTCAGTAAGTCATTAACACTTTGATCTTTAGAAAGATCAAGAGGTGTTTTGCCTTCATTATTCTTAATGTTATAAATTGCACCTCGCTCCAATAAGGACTTCGTAATATTCAAAAAACCATTCTTGGCTGCGACGTGAAGCGATGTAGCACCACTAGCAGCGGTTTTAGCATTAATAAAATCGTTTAATTTATCATGACTTACATGTTGTAATAAAACTTCAACAATTTCTTCGTAACCTTTAGAAGTAGCAGTGTGTAACAATGTATTACCTTTATTAGTAACTTGAGTAACATCAGCTCCGTTTTCTAGTAAGATGTTCACAACACTTTCCTGTCTACCGCTAACAGCGTAATGTAACGGTGTTCTTCCATCAATGTCTTTATCATTGGCATCTGCTCCATCTTTTAACAGGCGCTGAACAGCTTGTATGTCACCATTACTAGCAGCAATGTTAATGTCTTTCTGCAAATACTGTAGAATTTCTGACGGTTCGTTGCCTTTAAACTTAAACATAGAATTAATAACATCTATCTTGTTTAAAATATCCAAAAAAATGGGATGACTCGATCCAAAAACAGTTTTGATTTGATAAAAACATTCTCTGTAGGCTCTAAGTGCACCAATCCATTTATGTTGATCAAAAAATACATTTGCAATGCTGTGTTGAGTATTCAAGGTTTCGGGGTGATTTGCTCCCAAAGCACTTTTCTGGATATTTAAAACCTCTTGATAAGATTTTAAAGCTTCATGATATTTTTTTCGACAAATATGTATTCCAGCAATGCTATGCAACGTTCTCAAAGTAGTTAAATGATTAATACCCAAAACCGCTTTCTTCCTCTCGAAAACTTCTTTATAAATTTTCAGTGCCTCTTCATACTTACCCTGGTTAGACAGTACCATCGCTATATTATTTTGAGCATACACAACTGCTGTGTTATTTGCACCTAGTATTTCTTTTCTCTTTTCAAAAACTGTTCTATTGATATTTAACGCTTCTTCGTATTTTCCTTGTCTATCTAATACTAGTGCCATGTGAAAGTAAGAATTTAAAGTGTCTAAATCATTTGGCCCTAGTATTTCCTCCTGCTTCTTACAAACTTCTTTATAAATATTAAAAGCTTCTTCATCCTTTCCCTGTCTATGCAGCACTAAAGCAATTGTATTTCTTGTACGTAAAGTATTCTTATCATTCAAACCCAGCATTTCTCTCTGTTTGTGAAAAATGTCTTCAAATGTATTTAAAGCTTCTTGGTAGGCTCCTTGTGCATATAATACTTTAGCTATGTACGTCTGAATATCTAAAGTGCCAGGATTATCTGACCCTAGTATTTCTTTTCTTTTTTCAAATGCGCTTTTGAAGAAACTTAAAGCCTTTTGATAATCGCCTTGATTAAAAAGCACTAAACCTAAATTAAAACGAGCGGATACATCACCTTGTGATACCTCTTTCAACTGTTCGATTTTTGAAAAGTTACTATGCATTGCAGCAATTATTAACGTTTTCTTTTCTCTATCATAAGCATTCATTATTGCTTTTACTGTATCAACATCCTCTATTTTGTTAAGATCATTAACAACTTGAGAATTATCGTTTTTAATATTTTTAAATGAGTCACTCAGTAATTTAAATAAGCTAGTTATACTTTTATCTACAATAAAATCTGATGGCGTTTTACCATCATCTGAAACAGCATTATATACTGCACCATTAGACAATAAGAGCTTTACAACTTTTAAATGAGAAAACTTAGCAGCATAATGTAGAGGAGTAAATCCCTTGTTACCAACTGCATTAGGATCAGCTTTATTTTGTAATAGAATATTGACAATTCTGTCATAGCCTTTCCACGCAGCATAATGTAATGATGTTCCCTTAGCATTTTTGGCGTTAACGACCGCACCTGCTTTAATGTAATTCTCAATTTCTGAAGAATCATTATGTTTTACAGCCGAAAACAAATTCTCAGTTAGTGTTAATACATTAATAACGTTTTCGTCATCAGACATTTCTAACGGTCTTCTAGAAAAATTGTCCTTAGCGTTATACACTGCGCCATTTTTCAATAAAACTTCAATAAAATCTTTATAACCGAATTGAGCTGCAAAATGCATAGGAGTTAAGCCATTAACATCTTTAGCATTAACATCACCGCCTTTTGTTATCAAATACCTTGCAACTTCTAAATGACCTTTTATTGCAGCATAATGTAGTAATGTCTGATTACATGCACCACGATCATTAATAATTAACCCCTTACTAAGAAAAAATTCCACAGTATCTTTGTAACCTTCTCTTGCTGCAATATGTATAGGTTTTGAGCCAGAGGCATTTTTAGCATTAACATCAGATCCCTTATCTACTAGACATTTTATCATCCCTAAATTATTTTGTTGTGAAGCAATATGCAATATCGTCCAATCATCATTACCTTTTGCATTCATATCTATTTTTTCATACTGCAGTAACATTTTAACTACTTTTAAGTGACCACGTGCTACTGCTAATTCCACAGGTTTTCTATTCTTGTTATCATTAATATTAATATTTGCTTTATTATCTAGTAAAACTTTCACAACATTATCATGACCCAATGCTGCTGCCAGATGTAATGGTGTACCTTCGTAAGATTTAATATTAACGTTAGCTCCACTTGCTATTAAGATTTCAACAACTTCCTCATAACCCTCCTGTGCTGCACAACATAACGGTGTTAGATTATTAGAAATTATGGCATCAGCATCAACTCCTCTTGCTATCAGAGCATTCACTACATCCGTATGACCTCTACCAGCAGCCAAATGTAATAGATGAGCAATTTCAGGATCTTTCATATTAACATAAACTTTATTTTCTAGCAAAATTTCTACAATATCACTGCATCCCGCAAGAACTGCTAGTGACAAAAGTCTAATGCCCTCTACATTAACATTAACTCCATTCGCTATAAGTACTTCAACGATTTCCTTGTGATTATGACTTATGGCAGAAACCAATGGTGTCACATCTTTGCTCTTAACATTAACATCAGCTCCATTTGCTATCAAAATCTCAACGATTTCTTTATTACCTACTTCCACGGCTGCATATAATGGTGTGATGTCTACAAAATCTCTTGCATCGACTTGGGCTTTATTTTTTATTAGAAGGTTAACAACATCTTTGTGGCCTTCTACAACAGCTGCATGTAACGGTGTCATACCATTATTATTTCTAGTATTGACTTCAGCTTTATTTTTTATTAAAGAAACAATAGCATTTCCATGACCATTTAGAGCAGCACAATGTAATGGTGTACTACCGTCATAAGTTATAGCTTCTATCTCAGCTTTATTTTTTATTAGAAGATCAATAATATCTTCGTGACCATTCAGAGCAGCTGCATGTAACGGTGTTAAATTATTATCAGCTTTGGCATTAATTTCTGCTCCATTTCTTATTAAAAATTCAGCAATTTTTTTATGACCACTTTCTGCTGCATAGTACAATGGCGTAGCGTTATATCGATCTCTAGCACGAATGTCAACACTATGTTCAAGTAGAACAACAACTATTCCTAGATGACCATTCTGGGCAGCAAGATGCAATGGAGTCCTACCTGTAAGAGTGGCAATATTAGCATTAGCTTTATTTTTCAGTAGAGTCTTAACAATTCCCTCGTGCCCATCTTTTGCTGCATAGTGCAAAGGTGTATTATTACCGGCTTTGTCAACAGCATTAACATTAGCTCCATGTTTCAATAGAATGATAGCTATCTTCTCATGACCGTTTTCTACTGCACAGTGTAATGGTGTAAAACCATTTATGACTCTAGCGTTAACATCAGCTCCGTTTAAGATTAAAGCACTTACTACTTCCAAATGTTTGGTTGCTGCTGCATGTAACGGTGTCCAATCTTCATCATTTCTAGCATTAACATCTGCCTTATTTTGAAGGAAAAAATTAACTAACTCTAGATGACCTTTCTCTGCAGCTGCGTGCAACAGGGTAAAGCCACCTACAATTTCATTAACATCAACATTTATATCGTTTTTCAATAACATCTTGACTACATCGATATGATTATTATATATTGCATAGTGTAAAGGTAAAAAACTATTTTTATCTTGGGCAATAGTATTTGCTTCATTTTTCAATAAAACTTTAACAGTATCCTTGTGACCATTTTGAGCAGCAACATGTAGTGGTGTTCTGCCACTCTTATCTAGCTCATCAACATATAAACCTGCTTCTTTTATAAGTAATTCTACAATGTTTTTCTTTCCATGCGCAGCAGCAACATGCAATGGACTTCGACCATTAATATCTTTCACATTAACGCTTAAATTTTGATCAAGAATAAATTTTACAACTTCAAGACTAGATCCCTTAACAGCAAAATGTAACGTGGTCCATGAATTAACATCTCTAGCATTAATATCTGCTCCTTTTTTTAAACAATCCTTTAAGCTTTCTAGATTTCCTTCCTCCAAAGCAGCAAACATTCTTTCCTGATTAATAATGGTATTTAAGTCTTGATCGTATTTCTCTCTCACCTTGAAAGAATTGTCACTTACTAACTTGCCAATTTTCTTCTTGCTTTCTATTATATTTTCTTCAGTAAGTTTTTTAGCGTTCAAAATAACTGCTATTGAAGGATTAGACAACAGTACACTAACTAAGACATTATCATGTGCTAAATGATTCCGTAAACATTTTCCAATTAATAAAGGAGCGTTATCGTCTAAAAAAAGTAGATTATTTGCCAAGTTATGTTTTGAGCTATCTAAAATTGACATTATATCCAGAACAAGCATTTCTACTACTGCTTGTAATTTTTTATCACTCATATTATAGAAAGGTAATTTTTCAATTAATTGGCAATTTAATGCGTTATTGCTTAAAATACTTTTCAATTCAAACAGCTTCAAGGTAAGCTGGTCATTATATTCTTCTTGTGTTATATTATGAGTCTTCTTTTGTTTTTTTGTTACATTCAATTTTTCTTTTAATTTCCTAATCCATTTGATGTTACTTGTTCCAAATTCAGGAATATAAAAAAGAATTTCCCAAATTATTGCGTCTAATTTACCAAGATTGTCATGTTGTATTCTTGATCCAATAATTTTTATGACATATTCAGCAATTTTCTTAAGGCTATAAGGCTCTATTTTTAAAGTCATATTCTTTAATGTTCTATTAGCAATAAATTTCATTTCTCTAATAAAGTTGTAGTCAATCTTAATGTTATTAATAAGCCTAATTAAACTCTGCAATGATGCAAATCCTTTAATATAATCAGTTCTGATATTTTCTGATTGAGTTTCCGTACAATTGATTATGTTATTAATTTTTTTAAATAGCTCTTTATCGTAACTGGTCTTGTCAGTTATATTATCGCTTAATTCATTAATGAGTTTTTCAAGCTTCTCGTGTTCCAGCATTTTAAAATTTTCCGGTATTATTTTATCCAATTTAACATTACTAAATATTTCAGCAATTTCTTTTATCACATCTACGCTTTCACTATCAGCAATTCTTTTTAGCAGTATTCTGATCGTTTTAATTTTGTTATTGTAAAGAATATCAGTAATTACATTATCGATTCTTTTAGTATCCTTTTGAACGCCAATAAAAAAACTAACATCTGTATTTTCCTCAATTTCTGTTCTCTTAGAGAGTGAATAAGCATGTGATAATGAATTACGTAAATCTATAATTATTTCTCTTGTGTTTTTTGGTAACGATAATAGCAAAAGCTCACTTGTAGTATTAGATAACTTGGGTGATTCTAATGTGTTTTTTAAATGCTCACCGATAACCTGTAAAACCCTTGTAATAATTAACTGTCCTTCTCTTTCCTTAGGATCAGCCGATAACGCCAACTTTATATAATCACTTATTTTCATTAAAGAATGAATATCCCTAATTTGTTGATAATCGTCATACAACTCTTCAAATTGAGGATAATTGCTAATAATCTCGGCAACAACTATCTCGCGCTTTAACTTTGGAAAATCACCGAGTTTATTTACACTTTTTAAAATATATTTTTCGTCTTCAAGTATGTTTGCAAAATTTTCCAAGTGATTTAGTATTTTGCTTTTATTCAGTGTAGCATTATAGAATAGATTAATTTCTTCTTGTTTTGTGTGAGAGGAAACAAAACTGACTAAACAAAACTCCATTTCTTCCCAAGGTAATCTATCATAGGTTGATTTCAACTGCCGTTTTAATATATGAATATTTTGTGCGATAGATTTTGCTACAAATAAAGTCCTTTTATCTACTTGTTCCGTGTTTGAGTAATTTGTCTTTAACAAGTTAATGTTTTGAAGTGTTAATTCAATCCGTCCTCTGATATTATTATTAAGACAATTATTCATATTTTGATTTTTTCGTGAAATATTAGAGAAGAAACGAAGGTTTACTAACTTATCTTCAACAAAAATTTCCATTTCGTCTGATAATGGTACGTTTTTTAACTTCAATTCTTCATAAGCTCTTGAAAGGATTTCATCCAGTTTTCCTAAATAAACGGCAAAATAATTATCTGGCCATTTACTAATGAGTGTATCAAGAAGCTCAACATTGCATGAACGTATAGCATAATAAAATGCATTATGGCACGTTTCATCTTCATCATCTGGCAATATAGTATTTCTTCCAATAACAACAGACAGATTATTTAGAATTCTACTATCACTATCAAATAGATACTCTAAAATTTTTACTTTATTATGTTTACAAGCTAAGATAACTAAATTAGTGCTTCTAACAGGGTTATTAGCATTATCATAATAATCTCTTAAAGTTATTTGATCTTCTGCATTACTTATGTTGTCAATTAAATTACTTAATTTTTTTAAGCTATCAATATTATTCACTGATATTGTCTTTTCAAGTTTAGTTAACACTTGGAAATAAAGTTCTCTTGTTTGTTTCTTCATATTTTTTGTATTCTGGTATAAATTTCTCTTTAGATTTAAAAGTAACAAAATTTTTGGCAGGCAAAAGTCAGTTTATTTTTTTATGTGCGTTCCCTTCTCTATAAACCTCTGTAACAATAAGATACAGTTATTCCAGCAATAAGATAAAAAATTTTTTTAATATAGCAAGAACAAAGGAACATCTTCGAATATGTCTGAATAAGCTAAAAACATGCTAACAACATTTTTAGGTGATACTGGAAGTGATATAGAGAAGGGTGAACCACACACATAGACATAAGAGTATTATAGGTTTGCCAGTAATGTTCTATTGACCTGCAATGTGCTGAGGAATATAAATCGGAGATATAAAATTTATTTATTTTTTCAAAACACAAATTTTAGTTAAATTATTTAAGTTCGTGTTTTTTTAAGCTAAAATTATGACCGAACAAACGCTGTAAATAATGAATATTAATTATAAATAATAAATAATCGTTTTTTTTGCTCTTGATTTCATTGCCAAAAAAGATCCCTCTGATTGATAATCTTTTCTTCCTTTGTTACAGGAATACGTTCCGGATCGACTGCTCGCTCCACCAAGATTCGTTTAATCCCGTACGAATATCGAATTGTTGTCAGTGACAGGTAAGTGTTCCTCACAGTAGATAGTTATTCCACACAATAGAGAACTGTTATCAATTCATTTTCAGGTATCAACGACACCCGGAATACCAGTGCTGTGCGAAAGAAAGAGAAGTTCGAACGACTTGTACGCTGTCTTAAAAAAGTTATTATGAGTTATTTCTCACTTGCTCGTCCAGTTGAGTGTGCGACCACACTCGCACACGCACACTCAAACGTTTTTGAGTAACTAATTCGATAATTGCAACGTACACGCGTAATTAATTCAATGTAAGTCGGTAATGATGGTTACACATTGTAAAAAATCTCACAACTCTGTATTAAGTTTTTTTCCCGACACAAGTGACCTTCATTTATTCTTAATCACAATCCCCCACTTCGTGTTCTTGTAGTGACTCATACGCATGACGCGTCTACGGATTACGTGCCTGGACGTCAAAAAACCCGCTTCGCGATATGTTCGCTACGACGTACGTTCTCCCGGCAAAAGATCTATATTGAATTTTATTAGGAAGTAAATTCGAATTTCAATTAACGTATTAAGACGTAATAGCGTCACTCGAGTTTCAGTGGTACGCGCTGTCGCAGGGCACTGTCTCTATCGCGATAAGACTTACGTCCGCATGCTGTGACTGCTCCCGGACAAACAACTTTTATTGTTTAATTGGTTATTCACAATTACTTTTACACCTTACTAACTCACGTACGTAATACGCGCGGTTGTGGATAAAGTGCCCGAAGCCCGAATAGTTATACGAACGCCTCACTGCTCGTCCGTACGCTACGACGTTGTACCAGCAAGTGATAAGGATTTCGCGATCACGTCGAAGCAAAGACCACATCCGTTATACGCTGATACTTCGGCAAGCTTTGAGAGATGGAGAAAGCATAAGCATGATTTGTTATCCCCTTCTCTCCCGAGCTGTGCGATTTCGAATCTCGAGAATCTCGAGTTTCAAATTGATTTGCAATTTATATTAATTCCCTTCCTACCAAATTGTAATATATTTACAAGTATGCTATAAATTGTATGCTATAAAGTTATAAAATTGAAATTTATAAATATAAAAGCTATAAATATAATTAAATAATATTTATTAACATAAAAATTGACATTTAGAAATGTAATGTACAAAAAACCAATCTTGGCCAATACGCTTTAAAAAAAAATTCTTACATTTCAATTCTTACAATTATAAAAATTAAGTTTAACGTAATATTTAAATTTGCATAATAATAATTAAATATTAACTGCTGAGGAAAAATTACAGTTTATAGTTTTTTTCCTCTTATTTAATTTATATTTTATTTATGCATAACGTATAGTTGTATTATTATAACAGAATTGCGAGAAGGTGGTGATTGATATCGATAACATGCTTCAGTCGCTATGTGTTTCCTGCGATATATATATCGTCTTACATTATTTGATGACTTCGGAGATAAAATGCTGTGAAGAAAGAATACGCTCTCTGTTTGATATTGACACATTTTTCAGTAGGTCGACCGGTCAAAGATAGCGGCTTAGCAGTACATACGTCTGTCATCGGTGTCTTCTTGGAATCTTTGAATTACTCATATATATTCTTGTATATGTGTGAAAAAATGTGTAGGACCGTGTGCATTCAAGAAAATCTTATACACATATATAAACATTTATACACATGCAAATATTATACAATATAAACATATAAACATTTGATAAACTTCCGAAGTGTAAGGAAATCTTTATATCATCAGTCGAATATGCTTTGAGGTCAATAACACCGAAATAGTCCATTTTCGAAGCCTATTTGACCGAAATAAGCCATTTCCCATTCATTCAGTTGCAAGGTTCTTTGCCGTTGCTTGTGGAAAAAATTTATCTATTATGCCATATATAATAAATTCATATCTATACTTTTGCATTATCTTTCTTCTTCAACATGAATTTTGTATTTTCTTACTTTTCTTTCAGCTTATTTAAATTTTCTGCGAATTTGACATTTCCGGTGACGTTGATAATGCCAACGATATTTGTACATTTAATATATCTTCTCAATATTGATGTAATTTATCTTGTAATTATAATATTTTATAAGTAGCAAAACTTATTTTTATGACTACCGCGTCCGTTTTTGCCACGCGATATAATCGATATCGATCGCTGCTGCCCGCAAATCTCGCGATGTATCGTCTTACATTTGACTTTAGGTAAACGTGAAAATAGAATTCTCCTTAATCAGCGGTTGTTCATCATCACGTCCGTCCGATTATAACGATTATATTGTTAGGTGGCGAGCAAGCCTTCCCTATAATATCAAGTGACGATAATATATTATAATTATAACAGCTAACCATCGATCTTGTTAAAATGGATAGAATTATATATTTTTAGAATTTTTATATGAATCTTTTGTTCGGATAACGTAAAGAGATTATTAAGAGCAGAGAATTACATATTTAGTCAAAAATTTAGTCTGCCGGTTGAATTAACTCGATTAACCGCTGCTTTCATTTCAATATCGATCATAATTTGTTGATTTAACCGAGAGAACTGCTGAGCAATATTTCTAACTATATAATTCACCCTCCTTAATCTAATCCTTTTTCCTCCACTTATCAAGTCGGGAACATTCCCACAGTAAAAAATTAGTAATTACGTATCCCCTCTCCTTCCGTAAACTTCGACTGAGTTTATCTGGCAGAATCTGGCTCCGCTGACGTAATAAGGTGTAAAGGTTAGATGCGCTCATTTGCCTGTTATCGCCGCAAAAATGTAGTAAACGAGGGAAGAGCAATGTCGATATACGTTCATTAATCGTCAATTCATAGCAGAATTTGTCGTGGAGCAGTCGTTCAACGAGCTTTTATGTACAAATGTCGGCGAAAGGTAAGTGCGATTGCAACATTATATGTTGTAAATGTTTAAATATATTGTTATTATTTTTAATGTGAATTCTAAGTGCTCGAGAATTTTTATCTCTTTTGTTTTAAAGAAATAAATACATTTTATCTGTCAATAACTAAGTTTTTTCTTTTTTTTTTTAAATAATACAAAATATAGATATATGGTACCACGAAAATATTCTGTGTTATAATTAAATATTGCATATTTAGTCTAAAACGTTATGCAGAGAAAGTATTATGTAATGAAAAAGAATATAATCTGTTATATGATATTACAGCTTTAGCATGGACTGATATATATATAAGTATATATAAAAAGTTGCAAGAAATATATATATAAGTATTATACATTTCAGTTCAGCATATTTCTTGCAACTTTTTTGTTTTTTACATTATCAAAAATGTCTTGAAAAATAATTTATCTAATTCCATGAATTTATATGATAGGTGATGGGTCATGGGACACACATGGAACGAAAGATATCTTTCAGAAAGATGTACCAAAAGATAACGCTACACCATCAGCGTTTGATCCAATTGGTTAGATATATAATAGTATTTTTCAATATATCCAATATATATATATATGTCTAACAACAGTTTTCTTAATGGAATTTAATTGTTTTGCAGAACATCAACATATAAGATATAATCCATTAAGAGGAGAATGGGTGCTGGTATCGCCCCATCGTATGAAGCGACCTTGGGGAGGTCAAATAGAACCCAGTACGGATGAGGAGCTTCCAGATTATGATCCCAAAAATCCCCTTTGCCCAGGAAATGTTAGAGCTAATGGGGAAGTCAGTTGATTATTTATATTTTGTCTGACATACAAATAACGTTTCGCTATTTCGATTCCTATAAATATCAAAATTCTTGATTTTATATGATAAAGGATATTTTGCCGTGTTTATTTTAGTATTGCACTGTCGCCTGTCGCCTACATTTCTATTATATTATTCTTCATTTACAAGAAATTTTTGTAACAACAGAATAATTCTATATATTTGATAATATACTAAAGATTTCTAGGGTAATTTTTTGATAAAATCCACTCTCCTGTTATATTATTGCATGAATTAATAGCTTTCTAAAAATGTAAACTAAAATTTATCATTTTATTTTATTGCTAGAGCATTCAAAATTGCCGTTTTTACATTATAGGTAACTCCAATGTACCAAAATACGTTCTCGTTCGTAAATGACTTTCCCGCTTTATTAGAATCGGTGCCAGATCCACCGAAACCAGATGATGAATTGTTTCAAATGGGATCTGCTAAAGGTACCTGCAAAGTGATGTGCTTTCATCCAAAGTCAAATGTAACAATAGCGTTGATGAAAATTCACGAGATTAAGGAAGTGATTAAACAGTGAGTAACATTTAATAAGTATATATCGGATACTTGTCACTTTTGAAAGATAAACATTGTAAAATGTAATAGGTGGATCTTCGAGATATTGGAGTTGGGTGATAAGTGGACCTGGGTCCAGATATTTGAAAATAGAGGCGCTTTGATGGGCTGTAGCAATGCACATCCTCACTGTCAAATATGGTCTAGTTCGTTTTTACCGAATGAAATCAGAATAAAGGACGGATATCTCAGTGATTACTATAAGCGTAACAAGAAACCTCTTCTCATTGATTACATGCAGAAAGAAGTTATAAAAAAAGTTAGTATTTTATAAAAAGTATTATAAATAATATTTTGATGCATATAAAAAAGTTCAAAGGGGATAACGATTTATCTTTAGCATCGAGAATTTTTTGATGCGGTTTTAACTAAGCTATTATATGAATTTACAGGATCGGATTGTAATAGAGAATCGCGATTGGATAGTTGTAGTACCGTTCTGGGCAGTTTGGCCATATGAAACTATGGTATTACCAAAAAAACAAGTGACTAGAATGCAAGATTTGTCCGGTAGCCAACAAGAATCTCTAGCTGTTATCATGAAGAGATTATGTACAAAATATGATAATCTTTTTCAATGCTCTTTTCCATATTCGATGGGATGGCACGGTAAAGAATAATGATTATCAGATATTCTATTTATTGTCTCCACATACCATTTCAATCTAGTATAGTTTATAATTACTGATTTATTGACATGATTAAAGGTGCTCCAATGGATCCATATCAGCACCATGATTATCCATACTGGACTTTTCATGGGATATACTTACCACCTTTATTACGATCAGCTACCATAAAGAAGCACATGGTTGGCTATGAGCTTCTAGCTCAAGCACAGAGGGACCTAACACCAGAACAAGCAGCAGAAAAATTGAGAAATTTATCAGATTCTCATTATAAGCATCCGGAAACTAGTCTAACTGTGGAGGAAATAGAAAAATACTCGAATTAAGTGTATATATGTAAATAAGATATATATTTTCGATAGTCATATATATATAAATTTATGAATTTAATATAAATTTTTATATTACATTATCTTGATGGTGAATTTATTCAATAAAAGGTATGATACTAAACAAATGTATCACATCAATACATGATCTTCATTTAATATATTATTAATATTTAGGAAATTTTGGATCAATCTTGTTGCTCCAAGCATGGATACCTCCAATTATGTCTCTTATTTTTAAAGTATCTTCGGTAAACATCTTTTTCAGATACTGAGCTGCCTTTTGCGAATCATTACCACGTCTGCATAGAAGATACACTGAAGGAATAAATACAGTCTAAGATTAATTCTATTAATCGCAAAAAATAATCTAAAGAATAGTAATGTAGATATAAATATATCGTACAGTCTACTGAATGATGGTCTTCTTGCGCTTTTTTTATATTGTCGTTTATTAGCTGTAAATTATAATCCTTGCTAAGTTGCGGGAGAGGAATATTAATGGAATTCTGTATGTGGCAGATTTGATATTCTTCAGGGGAACGTACATCGATCAATATGTGAGGTTTTGAATCGATTTTCACGATCTGATTATATTCCTCAACTGATATTCTTTCTTCTTTCCTCAGTAAATTTAAATTAGGATCTTTGTCATTAGCCTTTGCGCCACAAAATTTTTCATAGTCTATTAATTCATGTATAACACGATGTTCCCCGCAAATCGCACAATCTGTCATCTTCGGGCGTAAGCGTACATTGTGGAATTTAGTTTCCATTCCATCAAACAACAAAAGTCGTCCCGAAATTACATCGGGCATATCAAGTATAATTTTCAACGTTTCCAGCGCTTGCAGCACACCAATCGTACCCACGGCTGGTATCCGACAATGAGAAAAACCAAGAAATAATAATATTATAGTATATATTTGACTATAAATTGAAATAAATATAGAAATTGGTGAAAGAGCTTTACCTGCACCAAGAACACCTCCATCTCCACAATTTGTTACAGTTTCCGGTGGTGGTGGTTTAGGAAATATACATCTGTAGCAAGGGCCATTCTTGTAATTAAATACTGATAAATGCCCTTCAAACCTCAGTGCTGATCCGGAAACCAGTGGTTTGCCACTCAACACACATGCGTCATTCAACAAGTAACGAGTAGCTGCATTATCCGTAGCATCTATTACAATATCGTAATTCCTTATGATATCCAAAGCATTTTTACTATCTAGTTGAATTTTATATGGAGTGACTTTTACAAAACTATTTAACCTGCAGGAATAAGAGTACGAAAAAAATAAGATTATTATATGTGTGTGAAAAAACTTAGTTATGTTCGCAAAACAGTACCATTTTCGTCCAATTTTAATCAATATACTATTAATTTATAATACTGTTATACCGATTAAGACTTTCCGCTGCTGCAATCACTTTCGCGGTGCCGATGCTTGTTTCCGGGTACAAAAATTGTCTATGAAGATTGTTTATTTCAACATCGTCATAGTCTACTATGCCTATGTGGCCGACGCCAGCGCACGTCAAATATAACGCCGAGGGACAACCAAGACCACCAGCTCCTACAATAAGTACAGAACTGTCCTTTATCTTCTTTTGACCTAAAAAAATCAGAATCCATCAGGAGAAAAGGATTGTATATTACCTTCTTCCATAATGTATGTATAAAAGTGTTATCAATATTTTTATATATACTAGGGGTTTCATGATTTATTACAAAATTTATTACAAGATTACGATAGTAGATTTTATCAAGTAGATCAGATTATGCAACTTTTCTTTTTATACATGTTATAAGGAAAATCTTATACACACAAATCTTATCATATACCTTTTACGCCAACTTCTGTCAAAAAGAGCTGCCGGCTGTATCTACAAATTTCGTCATTGCTCAAACCGTGTTCTTGCACGACCTGCTTCTTGCGTCGCAAACAAGCTAGTTCAGCCTCTTTCATGTGCAGCAATTCACGCAACTTCGTAATTTCTGCTACTAATTCATCCTCATGCGTGTCCGTCAATATGTTGTCCATTGTATAATCACAGAAGATTCAGAATGATTCAGATCTTATTCCTTTTTTTAGATAAACTTCTCGAACCTTATTTCTATAAAAATCGAAGATAATAATTATTAACGATGTAAAATTAATCAAAAATATCAGTAATAATTCTAGGAAAATATTTAAAATAAAAGTTTTGGAGCAAAGTGCACTCATTCCTATATTATTCGATTAAAATAAAATATGAAAAGTTAAAATCGTAATTTGACATAAACAGAGCAATACACATGTATAAGTTTTTATTTACATCAGTTAAATTAAACCTCCAACTTACTAATAATCTTTCGATGCAATTCGTCTAGGTCTAGATTTAGTTGTAAAAAAATAATTCTTTCTGTAAAGTTTTGATTGTTAAAAGCGACGTGTGTTTTGAGGTTAAAATATCTGTTTTATCTATCAGCTGTTTCAACACGTGAGAGAACCTCGCACATGCGCCGTAACGCGAGTTTTTGCCGCCAGAATTTAAAGATGGCAGATTATTATTTGAATGCGACACATTATGCAGCAATTGTTAAATTATAGTGTTGTTGGAGAATTCACATATAGTTATGATAGTTTATTATTATTTTATATATAGCACTTTACAGATATTTTATGTATAAATACTTTTAGGATGTCTCAGGTAGTGTATCTTAAAAGTAAGTATTTTATTTAAGAACTGTAAATATTATATAAAAAAAAAATATAAAAAGTTAAGAAAAAAAAAATATATATATATATATATAAGATATCAAATTAATATCATCTGTTATTAATTTAGAAAAATTAGTTATTGTACTAAACATTATTAGTTTATTAATAAATAGTATTGGAATTTATTCCAAAGTGCTGTGTTAATTTTCTTTTATAGCCAGAATTAAGCAATTTTCCGATCTTTATTATACATATGTACGTGTATATGTATAGTAAAACTTCATCGAGATATAGCTAGGATAGAAATACATATATCTAGTGCAATTTTCTTGTAAAAAAACGGTTGATAAAAAAAATGGAAAATAAAAATCGACAAAAATTTATTCTGCAGACTTCCTGAAATTCAAAATTAGGCATCGATTTGAAAATAATCTAATTCTTTTCTGTTCTTTTTTCGATTGTTCCATGAACGAATTTGTAAATAACTTTTTAATAAAAACTAAAATGTTATAGTAAATTTAGTTACTATATGTTTCATTATACAGCAGAGAAGGAACTAAAGATTATTCCGAATTAATTGTTCATGAAGAATGCGAAATGATAGGTACTATAGTAAAGAGTAATAATAGGAAGAAACGAGTAGCAGAAAATCCAAATAATTTTACAAATTGTTAATTTCTGAAGATCAAAAATTCGAATTTGCAGCATAAATTTGCGTCAAATTTTTTAAATTTGTTTACTTTTTCGTGGGAATAATAATATAAATGCAGTTTTAACAGAAGCTTTTCGATTCTCGATCACATCATGATGCTTCTTCCTTTCCCGATAATTAAACGTAAAACCGTTGCATACAAAGCTTTATTTATGTATGCAAATTACATCTTTCAGAAATATGTTATATTAGATTAAATAATTAATTAAATAGTAACTTAATTCGAGGGATTAAACGAATTAATTACAACAATAAATTACTAAACAATAATAATAAATAACGGAAATAAATTATGCTTTAAAGCTATTATAATAACAGTTTTTAATTGTGTAACAGACAATCAAAGGGGAATTTAAGAATTTGTTTTGAGGCGATAGTCACAGGGAATTATATAAACCTTAAATAAATCATTTATCATTGCTATTTGCGAATATTAACAAATAGTAAGAAATACATGGAATATTGTATCAATTATAAAAATTAAAATTTGAGTAAAAATTGAAAAAATAATTCTTACGTTTTAATTTTAAGGGTGCGTTATCTTTATGAAATAGAAATATAATAAAAATAACGCAAGTTGAAAAAATATTAAAAATTTTGCTATAAGTATCTGATCACATATAAATTTACTAACTTGTGACAGAGAGAGAAACAAGTCAATCATTTTATAGTTTGATGTTAGATAAAGTTTATTCAGTTCGACTATGTTATTTGAAAAATTGGATGATAAGAAATATTTATCATCCCCGATCATTTCTCGTAAATCAATAAAAGCGGAATTCTAAAATTACGGTGAATGATATTTGTATAAAAAGCATATTACTTCTCTTTTTCTTTATAGGACCAAGAAAGTTTATATACACGTTTTGCGGGAATGCTTCCCTTCCAAGTTATTCTATGCTGACAATTATTAATTATTAATAACATTATATACAAGCTGTTCCAAATTCACTGCGCATCTTTTTTTCTCTCTTTTTTTTTTATAAAAAACACGTAAATATAAGTATGTATAAAATCAGTTCTTTTAAACTGATTTCCTTTGTTACTATGTGACACTATTTGAAAAATTCAATCTTTTCTCCTTGATCAGTAAAGATGTCACAAGGCATAAGATTGAAGATGAAAAGATTGAGAAGGTAGAATGGCGTTTTTATTAAATTTTCATTTGAAAAAAAATTAAACCAAAATTTTTCAAGAGATTATATTACTTGTTGAATGTCGTTAAAGGAAAAAACAGTGAACTTGGGACTGTCTGTACAACATATATTTGTAAACAATATATAAATCAATTCGGGTACATCTCACAAATAATTTGTTTATGGAAGGGACTAAGATACTTTTCCGATCTGATCGGAAGATCGATCGCGTTTTAATTGACGCCCTTTACCATTCACGTCTTCAATTACATATTCGTATCTACTTCAATTTCTTATATATTGCTTAATGTTGATCAGTTCTCCCTCCCTTATGTTGACTAAAATATGCGAAATTATTCTCGACAGAAAACTGACTTAACTCTTTACACTCGAATGATAAATACAAGATAAATACAAATTGACGAAATATACCACGAGATTGGATAAAATTTATACATATACAATAAAATTATATATAATTATCATACGAATTCTTTTCGCGAAACATTCAATTAGTTACAGAAGAGAAGAAAGTAACTTATTTTTTATTAACTTAATTTTATTTTTCTTTCAAATTTCTTTTTACAAGATCTTCCTTCAATTGGGAAGGACAATGATGTGTAAAACAGGATTGCCGTGTGCAAAGAGTTAAACCTACAATATTAACAGTATCTTCCAACCTGCGATTGTTTTTTTTTTTCTCTCGGAATCGTTCGCTGTATTATTCAATCGATGTTTAACGGTAAAGAGTGTCCGTACGATTGTTATCACACAAGAAAAACGTTCTAGTTGTTGCGCTCGAGACTATAAGCCGTGTCATTCTTGCGTATTTTTTTCTTCTTCTCTTTACGACTACGGCCCTCCCTGGGGGGTATTCTTAATTACGTGTGTAGAAAATGCGAGAGGTGTTCGAGAAATAATACGACGCTTCTCGCGGGTTTCGGAAAACGATCGCGCTTGTGGGAGTGTCGGAAGAAAAGTAACAGGACAGAAGAGATCACTATGGAGATCACTTCGCAGCGCTCTCCAGGAACAATCGCACTCCACTCTCGCGAGCAGCATATGACCTGCAGCCGACAATTTAACATTTCTCGGCTTCTTCGAGTTATATAATATATATAATATACTGAACCCAAGGCACGTTAATCTCTTCGCATATCAAAAGAGAATAAAAACATCGTCCCGATCTGCCGATCACAGTATACGCGGAATGTCGCAGCATCAGTCGACAGAATTGACCAGTCGCGCAATATTTCTCTTAATTCAAAATCTTTTTATCTAAATCGCAACCGCGACGACTCTGATATCTTTCTCGTCTCGTTTCCCACCTCACCTCTTTCAGGAAGCATTTTTCCTCGATTTCCCGGGAATTATAATATAAACACAAATATTAAATGTCGAGATTCCACAACGTCGTTGCGTCGTGCTAAAAATTCGAAAGTTCGGCTAAAATTTCCTGACCGAAAGATTTAAGTAGTACATTTGCGGTAATTATATATCCGCGATGAAAGCTACTTCTCGAACACTCCTCGTAATTCGATGCATCCAGCCCAATAGGACTCACGTCGGCGCAGCTTCGATATAGCTCGGCTCAAAAAGTAGGCAATTTGAAAAATCCCATATTATTCCAAATCTTTTCTCTTGCACCTCGAAAAATGTGTCTATTTGTAACTTCATCTTAAAAAGTACTTATGATAATACTGTCTGCGCTCCTTTACAGTAGATGAATACAGAAAGTCGAGAAGAAATCGTTATATTTAGTTCGTAAAATCAAGTTTTTTTTAAATCAGGGACTCATCAAGAAAATTGATTAAATTTTGATTAGTTCTTATTATCTTTATTCTCAAAATCATTATCTTAGTATTATACTATATTTCTTGCAAGTAATAGAAAAATAATCCTTTTTTTTTCTTTTTCTGAAATAAATTGTTGCTATAGAATCTAGTATTATATACAAATATTTATTAAAAATTTATTTTAATGCTTGATAGAAATGTATTGACCGTGTACGCCTTAATTCTTATTAAAATATTAAATTATTTAATTCCATTAGAAGAAATATAAAGAAATAAAAAAAAAAAAAAAAAATACTAAGAAATCGCTGAATTTTAATATACCTCAAGAGTTCTTAAATTTTCATTAAACTTTCTTTGAATTACCTATTTTCTGCAGTCAACAATCGCGCAAGATTGCAGGTAAAAAAAAAATAATACTACAATAGGTAAAGAAATACAATAAAACAGTCGATTAAAGTCTTAATTAGGACAATAAAATAAGATTTATAGTGCGATTTGCTGGCATGTAATAATGTGACTAGCCGAGGACTGAAATCTCGCAAGTTGTCATCTTCTCGAGCCGGTCTATCGATCTGCAGTTACCGCGAACGAGCCGTCCTGCCCCGAAAACAACGGGACGTGCGCTCCAATTCCAGTGCAATATCGGTACGAGATCTATCGGTAAGTTTTCAATTACGAAGTAAACTATCAGTACGTAATCTCGACTCTACGCCACCGAGGACGTTCATTCCTCGCGCATCGCTGCGCTCACACCCGACATTCACCCTCGGACGTCAATCTCCGGACAGTGAAGGATCCACCTCTCGGACGCGACGTTACGGGATGAAACGATGCCGATGAGAGAGATAGAGACGTCGGATAAAAACTTCGTGGGAAATATCGAGCGTAGAGCTCAGCTTTGGGAACAACGATACTCCACCGTTAAGAGGAAGCTCGTGCTCAAATCGCGACTATATCTCCGTAATACGTTTCCTTCGCGATACTATTTATAGAATAAATACACAAAACTTTATAGAGAGAGTCTTCTTTCCCGAAAGACGATTGCGCTCACTAGCACGAGTAACACCACCGTCAACGTCTCTCCCTCGTTCACCCTGTCACCTTGACGTTCTCCTAAAGGAAAGACACTATTATTAGATTCCTATTTGTTCCTAACTGTTTCACAATTCTATTGATCGTCATTCCTTCGGTAATCCGAAGGCGATCTGTCGCTTCAACATCTTCTTCAAGCACCATCTGAAGAATTAACTTCACGTTCCATCGTCCTCCAGTCATTTCTTCGACCTAAACTGATTTATCCCGATGCTCCTTAGCATTCCATGTTGGAACTAATGGATTATTTTTCCATCGTTTCTCGATCGCTAATTTTGCAGCAACGAGATGATTTTTACCAGGTTAATAGCGAATGTGAAATTCTCTATCTTTTTTCTTTAATCTCGAAATTAAAGAATTTTAGTGTTTCTTTGAAGTTTCATCTTACTATTCCGTTTCTTCTTTGGTAAAGCTGCAAGACAATTTAGGACTTAATGCTCCTTCGAAATTGCAGGCTAGGACTAGTGACTAACTTTTGTGTGTTGTGGTTCTCTCATAGTTCCCTCGTCCCTTCATCATTCCGTCAGTTTGGAGCTACAAAGCGACTAGTTACTTTAACACTCCCTCAAAGCCCTCTAGGCTTTGATAGCTATTTATCTGCTCGCCATTTTCTCATCCCTAGTTTTCTATCATCTTAATACTGCTGTCGAACGTACAACGGTGAGACGATTGGTTGGTGGCTATCCCTCCATCGCTTTACGTTTTCTTCATTCTTGCTTTGATAGTCTAGAATTTAACTTAGTCTTTTTTTTAACACAACACAACTGTTTCTTCATTGTTCTATAATTTCCTAATTGCTTTCTCAATACTTTGGAACAATTAAATGATTCTTCGTCTCGCCATCTTAAATGCTACGATTCTTCGATAATTGTTCCTTGTTGTTCATCATATCTCTTCTCGATTAATCATTTCTTCATCAAGCTCAACGAACGGTTTGTCACCTTGATGCAACACGTCAACTAAAGCTAACAAGATTATCCACTCAACTCCTCTTTTCCCATTATTCTACCTGATCGTTTCTTCATTGTCCCTCCAAGGATTTGAAGGCACAAGATGATGTGTCTCTTTGCTATTCCTTTGTAATACAACACTAGAATCGTTAGATATAACTGTTATATTCACTGTTCCGTTATCTGCGACGTCTTGTAACAAGATGATACGTTTCATTACATTGTCATTGGCTCAGTCACCTAATTTGTTAGCGAAAACAATGGAAATTGCTTCACAAACTCCGGAAACCAAGCAATTAAAAACATCTGTTATATTTTGAGTACATTTTTTCCGCAGATTAACAGTTCTTCCGCGCACACTGATCGCGAGTCTATCACCGATTATCACGTAACGACGGTACAACGTCATTCCAGGGAAATGCCCTAATGCGAGAATTTGAGGAACACCTGTTCCAGGGTAGTTTGACTAAAGCTGTACTCTTCTATATCCAGTTCGAGTTTGGCTGCAAACAGAAATTTTCGAAAAGTTACGAAAACTTTCTTTCACAAAGTTAAAGTTTTAAATTCCTAAGTCGGAAACTTTGAAATTCGAATCTTGAGTCATTAAGTATCTCTCAGTCAAAGAGCTCTATATAAACTCTAGTTTTATTTTTCTCTTATTTATTTTATCGCTAATCGAATAGTTTTCAAGTTAAAAATCTTGAAAATTAAAAATTGTCCATTTACTACTAAAAATTAAGACGCGACATTTGAAATTGTTGCAACTGAAAAATTTCATATTAAAGATATCCAAATTAAAACGTCCTAGACATAGAAACCAACAAAAATAATAAAACTACTTTTTTTACATTTCTTATCTTTAAGTTCTAATATTATCTAATGTTTCTCGTTTTTGTTAGATAAATATCTTTAGATTTTTGTGTTTTTTAGAACCATGACAGATCGATTATTGAATACTCTGAAGAAATTCTTCAATCCCTTTAACCCATCTTCTCACCTTTCTCCAATTGTGTGAAGCAATCAGCTAGCGAGGTCACCGCGTGTTGGGGTACGGCAAAAACTAACCGATCAGCGAAGCTCTCTTCCAGAGTGGCGTCGGAGAAGAGGCCGGCGACGAATTCCTTTAAACCGGCGATCCTGTCGCCGGAGGGTGTCGTCGGTGTGCAGTCGCCGCCCTGCAGCTTCATTTCTAGGGTGTAGCCAGCACCGTAGAGATTCTTTAAGTGCTGAGTCGAACCGATGCATCTCAGTTCACCCTTCACCATTATGCCGACTCTTGAACACAGCGCGTCGGCTTCCTCCATGGAGTGGGTAGTTAATATAACTCCCCTGCCGCCCTATTAATTAAAGTATTAAAGAGATCTTTAGAAGAAAAGTTTAATATGTATTTTATACTCGAATGCAAAATCTTTAATCTTTTAATATAAATTACTGATTTTATATTGATCTATTTTGATAATTATCTTGTTATCATTTTATTATCCATCCTTCTCTCTATTTACTGTTTATTTGCGCTGGTATTATATTATATATTTTCATCTTGTTTATAAGAATCTTGTAAAAAATATATAATTGTTTAAAAAATGTATTGGATAAGACTAATTGTAAGGAGAATAGCTTTTTAACATATAGCGGGTGTGGCGCTCTCACCTGAAAACTAGCGAGAATCGTGTCCCATAGGAATCTCTTCGACCTGGGGTCCATGCCCGTACTCGGTTCGTCCATGAGAATCACCTTGGGTCCTCCGACCATTGCCATCGCGAAACTAAGTTTTCTTCTAGTTCCGCCGGAACATTCTTGACTCTGCTTGTCAGCGTGTTCATGAATCTGTAGCTCGGACAAATATAGATCCACGATTCTGAAACAATCAATAAAATGAACTAAATAGTTATATCTATGAAATACGAAGAAAAACATGTATAGTAATTAAAACCGAATGATATTCTACCAACTATGTTAGCTGATGGTACTTATTGATTTATAAATCGAGAAACTAATCGCCACATAAAATCAAGTATCTCTTAAGATTAATTAATAGTGTTACAATAATTTTTGACGTCATAATAGAACTTTGATGCCAAACAGAATTTTTTTTAAGTTTATAATAATTCAATTGTTTATATACAAGTTAATTATTAATTCCTGAAGAATGAATTACATGTTTTCTTAGATAGATTAGATAAATATTGAAAAATCGCACCTATCGACATCACTCCATGGAACCCCGCGAATCGCGGCGTAGCATTCCAGATGCTCTCTTACGGTGATGTTTTTCCATTGAGCATCGTGTTGGGGACAATAACCCATCTGCCGGAAAGCATCCGACATGTGGGTGTTGATGTTGTGGCCGCTGATTTGCACCTTGCCCTTCGTTGGTACCTCCTCGGCGATGATGATCTTCATCGTCGTAGTCTTGCCGGCGCCGTTGTGGCCCAGCAGGCCCAGTACTTCGCCCGGTTCCACCGCCAACGAGAGATTTCGCACGGCGATCTTCCGCTCCTCCTCGCGCTTCGAGCAGCAGGACGATCCTGACTCCTTTGGTCGATACTCCTTTCGCAGGTTCTATAATCGTGCGTTTCACGACGCGTGAAATAGAATAAGATTGCACTGACAAAAATTAACATTGCATCGCGGTGAAAAAAAGATCGAATCAATTGCTTGTTAATTAAAACGAACTGTGTGTGACTAATTTTATTATATCCATTAAGATATTTAAATACAGGGATATACATCTCTGGCTAATATTTTTATATTACATAGATTATTATTACATAGATGCAGATTTAATTAGGATCAATATTGACATAATTTCGATCGAATAAAAGCTTGCAAAGTATCTAGATATTTTAGCAGAATTTCTCATTGACAAACTTGCCTATCTGCTTTACTATTCATATTATATGTACCTATAATGGATAATAATTTAATTTATACTAACTTACCTGAAGCAATACTAATGGCGGTTCTTGAGCGAGGGCTGGCGAAACGACAAAATTGAAAACCTTTTGCCGCTCATTTTTCACATCCGTGTCCTCGTGTTCGCCAATATCTGAATTTTCCATAATTTCCTCACGAACAGTATCGCCATCACGCTACAAGGATAAAAAAGATGAGACATCTTGTATTACAAACAAAACTTCAGATATTTTTAGTAGGTTTTAATAGATTTAAAATTGACTATTCTCATAAACGAATAGCTAGAATGTATATCTTAAATTATATGAAAAATTTGCAATATTTATTTATTAAATAAGCAATTAAATAAGCAAATAATTATGCAAATTTAATTAAATAACAAAAAATTATAAAACAAAAATGTATAATTATATATTTTGCGCAAGATACTGCATATTAAGTTATCTCATAAATCATTTTTAGATTATAATCAAATAAAGAAATCGACGAGTAAATTAGGAAAACAAAAAAAATTAAGAAATATACCTTTTTTCTATAAGACACTCGAATAATTTAAATCGCAATGCAAAATATGAGTACGAATACCGTGCTTAACAATATCCAACTTTATATGTTTTGTACATGAAGTTTTGTACATAAAAAATAGGTCTACGGTTAGCAGTAAAAATTTTAAGTGATAACTTAAATGTGCTAACCAGGAAACGTTTAAACATATCGCTGACATTGCCGCCGCTCTTGTTGATGTCCAGCAAGACTAGCACGAAGAACCAAACCGGGCATTGCACCAGCGCACCAAAAGCCAACAATATGATTTCCATGGTGAGGTAATCAGACATAACGAGATAGTGGCAGGCGGCGTTGATGGAGCACATCAAATGAACGCGATCCACGTAGTACACCGCCGCATATGGCACGTACATGCTGTTCAATAGGGAAAAGGCCACGTGCAACGCGAACGAAGCTGTCCCACCTTGAGCAACAGATCGTAACATGACAGATAATTTTGTAATTTTGGTGTTATCAATCTTGGTAAATGTATCAAGTCTCAAGAAAAACAATTATGAAGCTTGTAATCTCAAAATTTCAAATAAAGATAAAAAGGAAAAACATAAACAGTTCCATGAATCGACGTCACAAGTTAGAAATTGTCATTCGAAATCAAAGGCTTTTGAAGCTTCCTAGTAAGCAAACTGCCCGCAATATAACAATAGATTGACAGTAGATTTGTTCAGATCCGGCATCATCATCCGTGTCTGCATTAAACTCATGTGTTGCTAGCAAAGTCTGCCGATATAATCTGGCAGCAAATTGTTGGCAGAAACCGAACAGATCTGTCATTTCGTTAACATTTCAATGGAATATATCATTTAAATGGTTACGAAACAGCAGATACTACTTAATTTTTGCAGTTAATTTGCCATTTATATTCTGTTACCAAATTCTGTTATATTTTTACTGATTTTATCAATAAAATTTGTAGCAGACGCTTCCAAAATCAAATTTAGCTATTCAAAAAAGAAAAGATATGAATGGTCTCAATCGATGATTAACATCGCGAATTAGACGTTGAAATCAAAAGCTTGCGAGAAAGGTGCCTTTCAATCGCAATTCCACTAAAAGAAAATGAGATAATCTCAGTACACTGATTACTATTTACCGAGTCCTTGCATATCGAGGATCATAACGAGTATGAACGGTAGCATCCCGAAGAAGGTCGCGATGTTCGGCAACATGCTTTGCGCGGAGTCCAACTTGTCGAAGATGTAACTGAGACATGTACAGAAGACGATGGACGATGGGCAGTAGAGCATGATGAGAATGCCGAGGGTGATGACGGCCGGTATTTCCCGTAGCGAAGGCACGTCGAAAAGGAATATGATGCCGAGGATGCACAGGCAGATGAAAATCATCAGGCCGGCTAGTACAATGAAGTAGCTAAGAAAGTACATGGAGAACGACAGGCCATTCACGCGAAGTTGATTCTTCGCTTTGATCTGAAAAAATATTTATATGTAAATTTGTATGTAGAATCTCCCTGAAAAAAAGTTTCTCCATACATTACATTTTAACTATATGTTTGCTAACTGTAAGTTTTACAATCGATTTTAGATCAGAAACGTTTATTTAAACAAATATAAAATATCAAAAGAAATTAGCTTGAAACCGACAAAAAAAACTCAATTTCTGTTTCAAATAAAAATCACATTATTATGTTTAACTTTTAATATTGTTAGTATTGTTAAGATGCTTAATGCTAAATATTACAGTATAAAAATTCTAATTAAACAAAAAATTTTTGCGAGAAAATAGAAGCTGAAACATGACCTGTGTAATCTATAATTAGGATTTGAAAGCAAAATTCTTACCTCGCGATCATAAACCATGTCCACCGCTAAAGTAATCGGCAATAATATGAAAACCATGCCGAGAAGTATGGCACAGCTGGCCGCGCCGACATTAAACTGTTGGGGTTGCGACGTTTGTTGGAAGGGGTGTGTTTTGACTTCGATTGGCGTAGCTTCGTTCTTTCCCGAAATCAATCTAAATAAAAATTTAAAATTCATAATAATGTTACTCAATTTGAGGCAGATTTATATCCAATTAAATTGCAATCTATTTTGTTTCATACAAATTAAAAATGTTTAAAGAAATAAATTTGTGTGGTTCTTAATATCAAGTATGTTAATATTTACAATATTAATATTTTTTTTATTTTATATTTTTCAAAATGTTTTACAACAAAATGTAACACTTTGAACAACTTGTATCTTTAAAAAACTCTTGTACTTTAAATATTTCAAAACCACTGAACCTTCTTTATTTTTTCCACAGCCACACAGATAAACTCACCTATAATAAGCGTTCGAAAGAATGTTTATCAATATTGGAAGAGAATGTTGCATCGTATCGTTGTATGTGACAGTCAGATTGAGTCGCGGCAAATTATAATCGTTAATATTGAAGGCGGCTATATGCGGTGCGATATTCATTAAATTCGCGAAATTGCCATCGTATTCCTCGATGTGCTTGGCGTCTTGAGCTATGCTGTCTATCAACTTGGTAATGTCGTGATCGGTATTATTTAGATAGACGATCTCGGTTTCGTTGTATGTACCTAAGAAAAAAAAGAATTCCATAATTGATTTAATTTTCCAAAAATAGTAACTACATTATCAAACTTTAAAAATATAATTTGTTCTATAAAATAAAGTTTTACATACTCTTGCCAATAAATTCATGAATCTGATTGATTTGTAGCAACAATCTTTAAATAAGTGATATCAAGCTATATTATATGTTATATTACATATGTTAACTAAATAATTAAAAAAAATCAAATTTAGATAAATAATTTTAGTCGTCCATATTCGTAAATTTATAAACACGTACTTAAATATGTAATAATCCTATCTTTTTACGAAAATATATTTATAAAACAACAATCTTCTAAATTAAGACGATTAATTTGGGAACGTCGCTCTTTAAAGAACTGATGATTTACAATACTTGTTGAAAATAAACTGAATGCGAATAAAAAAAAAAGAACCGAGCAACTATCTCCTATTTTGTATAAGTTGCAATCACTTACGGCTATCAAGTTTTAGCGATTCCATCCTGAAATCGACCGTCCGGATGCTGTTCAGGTAGAGACCGAGCGCTATCAGAGCCAGCGGCATGATGATCGTAAAATACAGCAGTTGGAGGTTTCTAAAAAGTCTGAGCACTCTTATACGTAGCATGGCGTAGAGAATTTGAAAGAAGTTAGGCCGAATCTTGATGGGATCTAGGCCGAGACCGAGCACAGGTGGATTTCGATCATTATGGACACCGTCCGGCAAATCGTTCGCTAAATAATTCCATATAATATTACTACACTAGTAACTAATAGTTAAACAACATATTACGGTAATACTGATATTTAATAATATTAATTAATAATTAGATAACTAACAAAATCATGCGTTTATTTATTTTAGGAAAAATCGCTTTCTTCGAAATTGCAAAAACTTTGGGGACGGAACGTATGAGAAGAGATGATCCACACACCTTTTCCTTGGCTGTCGGCCTGTACAGTTACCCCCTCGTTCTGTAAGCTCTGATACGATGTGCTCTTGGACTGTAACGAAAGCGATCGGCTAAGCGCGCGATTGCGCACCATTTTCTTCGACAGGTTGTCCATTGTGCACTCGGTCTCCTCGTCTTTTTCCAGATGCAAGAATACCTCTTCCAGGGTGGTCATCGACACGCCATAGCTGCTAATGCCGAGCCTGGCAGAACGAGTCTTGATCTCGTTCTCGATAGCGGAGAAAAGGGGTGCGAAGTTTTCTACGGAGTTATGAGGTAGAATGAAGCTCAATTCCCGACCGTGACGTCTCGCCTTCTCCGCTTTGCCCACGTGTGTCATTACTAATCGGTTGATAGCATGTTCCCTGGCATTACCCTCTAGGACTAATCTATAATTGTAAAATAATATTCATTAAATGTTTGAAATTATTTTATTTTTGACGGAAAATTATATACGCTTTGTAATTCTTTGTAATAATAAGCTCCAATAAAGTGTAACGTCGAATTTTTTGTACTGTTTCTATACTATAAAGAATTAAATTATTTTTACATCAAACTATTTAAAATAAATAAACGCTAAACAAGAAAATATTTCTTTTCCGTAAGTTTTTTTTCAAATCGAGAATTTAAAATATCAAAATTTTAATTTCATAAACTTAGTTTTCTATCAATGTAATACGAAGATAAATACTAGTAGGATCCTTACGTTAAATGGTATCCAATGCCGAATTTGTTCTTTAAAAATAGGGAGCTGCCGCAACACCTGAGCTTTCCCTTGCTGATTACTGCTTTCCTGTCGGCGAGTATATCCGCCTCGTCCATGAAGTGAGTTGTCAACAAAATCACTTTTCCGTGCCGCCTCGACTGCAGAAGGGACCACAACTGTCTCCTCGAGTAAGGGTCCACCCCAGCGGTAGGCTCGTCGAGGATAATAATTTTGGGATCGCCGATGATAGCGATTCCCACAGATAGCTTTCTCTTCTGTCCACCGCTTAGGTATCGCGCGAAGGTGTCCGCTTTCTCAACCAGATCGATGTCTTTCAGGGTTTTCTTCACCTGGAGATCAAACAAACGTAATCTTTATCGATTTTTATTCTGTCTAACAAATAAAAATGCTGACTTTCATTAATTAATACACACTACTATGCAAAGTAATATGTATAAATCAATATAATAAATATGTTATCTATAGATGTTTTTGTTGACTACATAAGTACATACCTCATGCCGTATCATCGAGCGTGAAATGCCACGCACTGCGGCAAAGAACTCGAGGTGTTCGCGCGGCGTCAGCAAATCGAAGAGGATGTCGTGTTGCGGACAAACCCCGGTCATGCTGCGTATCGCCCGCATGTCATTGGAATCGCGCACATCGTAGCCGAATATAAGGGCGGTGCCGGATGTAGGTGTGGTCAAGCCCGTGAGAATGTTGAAGAGGGTGGTCTTGCCTGCGCCGTTGTGGCCGAGGATGGCGGTGATCTGTCCCTCGTAGATAGTTAGATTGATGCCGTTTACCGCCTTGATCTCCGGACGCCTGCACTTGTGGAACGATTTGTAGAGGTCGGCTATCCTGATCGCTTCGCGGCCCTTCATCTCGCGCACCACCGGCTCCACGTCGCGATTTGCCTCCTCGCTCGGAATGAACGAGTTCGACTCGCCGTTCGATGACGGTACCTGCAAGTTTCACCCAAAACTTATCAACAACTAATGTCTTATTGTTAAAAGGACGAAAGAGTGAGTCGATTAATAAGAAAACTTTTTAGATACTTCAGAATATCTCCCACATGTTTTTATAAAGTTTCTTGGACTTTTTTATATTATTTTAAAATATTTCAAATAGTTCGTACATCAATAAAATAGTATATCTCAGTAAAAAAAATTTATAATTCTATTAAAAAAAAAAGAATAAACTTATTCAACGTGTATATGTGTGTAATATATTATAATGAGAGATTTATGGTTTTATTTAATATTTTTGTTATATACTCTTAAAAACTCACCCTTTGAACCTTCTTTGAACACCAATATCCACGTAAAAAACAAAACCAAGGTGGCCTCTTGGTTCCATGTTCACCTAGAAATTGATCTTTACATTAAGTTCTATCCACGCAAATAAATTGTTTCGAAGAATTATTTTAATGTAAGAATATTCTTGTACTTAGCAAAAAATTAGAATATTTTTGTGTGAAACAATATAATAGCATTGCGGTAAATTACGAACAAAATTAAAACAAACGTACTTGGTATCACGGAATCGAGATAATAGGCCAGATAGCCATACAGAAAGATATCCAGAGTCATCATGATGAGGCTACCACCGAAAGGTATCCCTGGGCCGGACCAGAGATTGTCGAAATTGACTCCCTCACCTTGCAGATCCAGCACTAGAGCCTAGGTAACACAGAGCCAAGCTTTTTAAAATACATGATATACATCGGAAATCCACATTGTCGCAATTATAAAAACACTTGTAAGTCTCTCCTTGTTAAATCGTTTATAAATATTAAGTAAAACATTTATTTAATAATAGGAAATGTGTGAATTGTTTAATGTTCTTCAAAAAAATTATAAAAATTACATATTCTATAGTCTTTTGTAGAAAATTAAATAAACCATTACTATTATTGTCAATTTGTTTCAAAATTATGTAAGAGATTAAATCATTAAATCTAAATCTCAATAGGATAAATTGTCATCACAGAGTACTTCGAGACTTACCTTATCCATTGCCAAGGCGACGGCGGCTGGACTGATCAAAGAAACGAACCAGTATGTGACTGAGCTGGAATCACGCACGAATACTTGGATGAAATACATCAAGCTCAGTATCGTGACAGCAAAATTTCCCAAGACACCAGCCGTCTGAAACAGAGTAAAAAGATATTTTTATTATGCTCGTATTAATATAATCGTAATAATATAATCTTTATTGATTAAAGATGTAATGGACAAATAATTTATAATGCTGTTTTTGTTAATCTAAGACTATTAAGATACATATACAATTGTAGAAATTGTCACAAAAATTGCATTTTAGAACAAAATTAAAAAAAAATTTAGGTATAAAAATTTCATTAAAACTAAAATATATGAAGAAGAATCCTGTCAAAAATTACTTACGCGCGACTTGTCGAAGAATGGCGTGATCATAAAGGCAAACATAATCACGGAGAAACTGTATAGAACAACCAAAAGGAATATCGGTAGGAAGTGCGTGTGTTGAAACATTTGGAGTGTGAAGAGTAACACCACTCCGACGGCAGAGAGCAAAAATACGAAAATGCTGTAGATGATGAACCAAGACAACCTATGAGAGATAAAAAAGAAATATATAACGCTGGGAGAGAATATTATTAAGAACACTTGACATATAAATGAAAGAAGTTAATTTAGGAGGAGTTATATCGTTGGGGTCAAAAATCGATATTCGACAGTTATTTATAAATTTATGATCTTACCAAAACACGGAATCGTTTAAGCCCATCATCTTCATTCCCTCTTTAATCTTATTTTCCTTCTCGCCGACTATTAAGATCAGAAGATAAGTGACAAACTGCGAGAGCGCTAAGACCATGTAAAGCGGAATAACAACTCTGAAGGCCAACATCCAGTCTAAGGAAATAATATAATCGTTAACACAGTAAACGTGGCGTGTATTGCAGAAATAAGTGAATCTAAAAATTTCTGGTAAGACTACTCACCAGCGGTATACGCTTCCTTGGGAAACATTATGAGTTTAATATCCGGTATTGTCACGTCGGAATTTCCCATATCTAACTGCAAAAAAGTAACATCGGCTCAATCCCTAAATTTAATTGCCAGATCAGACTTATGTTCTTATCAAGCAAAAAACGTGGCTCACAAATAAAATTAGTAGACATTTACTAATCTTCAAAGTAAAAGAAAGAACTCACTCTTATCTTTGTGATATCCATTATCATCTGCAAGGCCAAGAAGCCGGAATGCAAGTAATTGTTGACGGGACAGGATTCCCCGGTTTTTATTGATAAAATGTCGCCCATCCAGTGCCCGGTCTTATTCTTTCGACAACTGATCGGAGCAGAATACAATTCGGTTGGCGATACGGGCAAGGTATACGAAGGATTCGTCCTAATTTCATATCTAAACAGTAAAAAAAGTTCCATGTATTAATAAAAAAAAAACTAATAACTGAGCTAAGCTTGTAAAAATTAATTATCTTACATAAGACGCTGTGATATTGGCAGGGGGTCCTCGAAGATAACTGCTAGGGGTACGCTGTAAGGATCTCTCCAGTACGCTGCTTGAAGATCATCCTTCGTGTCGAACACCATGAAGTTTAAGGGAAGCTTATCGGGATAATCCAACATAGAACGCCAGAGGCTATTCATGGAGTTTAAGAAGCTCTAGAAAATACATCATTAATTTTATATCACGCAAAATCTCACAATATCCGGCAGAAAGGCCATTTCTTCAAGCAGTTTATGGCGAAATAAGATTACATGCGATATTGTAAAAGATATATATGTGGCAAAAAGAAATGTAATTTTTAATGGAATTTAAAATTAGTTATTTCTAGATAAAATATTGTTTCAAAAAATTTTTAAAAAAACGGAGTTAAAATTTTATATTCTTATTGCTAAACATGAAAATTGGATTTTTTTTCAAACGTTAACTTTTGCAGAATTATACTTAAAACAGCAAGGGAGCTTATTTGAACAGACAAATCAATTCGTAATTAAAAATATTTTTAACAAAAAACAAAACGGGACAAAATAATTTTATTCATACATATGTTAATTATAATTGCATTATACAAATTGTATTTTATAACACTTAAAAGCAAAAGTACTTGTACTTGATTCAATGATTCAACGCATTGAGTCGGCGGTGATCTTTAGAGACTAGTACTCACGAGGGTTTCCGTAGAATTGGGCACCACGGCGATCGTATTGTTTTTGTAGCCTTTGAATAATTTGAATATATCTCCTTCGTGCCTTTGCGTCGTCATCGCGGGGAAGTTTGGGTTGGGTATCATAGCCTTCACCACGATCAAGGCTCCAAGGATATAGAGGGGTAGAACGACCTCCTGTAAGCAATCAAGTGGTACTGATTTCGGATCAAATAAATACGCACCGTTAGAAGTTAATTCTCCGTTCGTAACACTCACACAGAAATAACTATAAGTATCATTTTGGTAAAAGAAATCAAATAGCGACTTCAAAGAAATAAACTTCTAAACTCGTCTCTCTGGAGAGACAGATGATAATTAATAAATTAACAATAATTATATATATGTATAGATTAATATTATTAATCTATTAACTATCATGTATCTATATATTTCATGTATATATATATTTCATCTTTCTCTTCTTCCTTATCCCTTTTTTATTTACTAAATAATTAAAAATACATATATATATAAGAAAATATACATACTTTACTATTTATAATTCTAAAATTAATTGGTAATGAGAAAAATAAAGCTTCCAGAAAGAATATAAAAAAAAAAATCAAAGAGAATTTCTCGTCATCTTTTAAAAAATACATTTTGTAAATATAGCCACTCCATAATTACATGCGGTTTACACTGAATGAATAAAATTATTCTCATATTTTTTTTGCAGTTAATACTTGCAGTATGCTGCAAGATAGAGTAGTTACTATTTCGTTTTATATTGCATCTCTGAAAACGTATAAACACATAAATTCTATGCGCGGTAAGAACCCGCGTGTCTCGTAATTATTCCGTGTTCCATACGCGCACCTGCTGTCCTATTTCACTATTCGCAACGCGATACTAAACAATACTTCAAATCGTTTCGACTGCGTGTTCTTCCCTTTTGATAAATTGACAATTTTCTTTCAAGAATTTTTCACAAAGCTTTACTCAGAGATAGTAGGAAGAATTTTATATTCATAATTTAAACATGAGGCTGCATGATAATTTATTAATAATTATAATATAAGATCATTTTATAATTATTGCCTCTTTTTGCAAATTTTATAGTTAATTTGTAAATAATTATAGTTGTAATCTTTTTCTTAATGATATTGAGATATAAATGTTTGTTTTATAAATAATTAAAATTAATAGATATATTATACTTAGTTAGTAACGTTAATTTATACAAAAAATTAAATGAGTATCATAGTTGCTTTTTGAAGTAAATTTCATTTCAATTGGATAAATCTTGATTTTACAGGCTCGATTGTCATGACATTAAATATATTTAAATAGTAGATTATGTAAAAAGCTGAGACACACACACAACCTAAATCTTTTTTAAGAAAAAATCGAAAAGCTTCAATAAAATTTTTTAAATTAATTATGGATGTACGTACATACAAAGAGACAATAAAATTGTAAGACACTGTGCATTGTTTGGGGGTATTGATAGCTTCGAACGTTCCGTCGTCATGGCGATCAACAAAGAACCGACGCATACTCTGATGATTGCTAGACCGTCGAAAAGTAGAACTTCACACCGTTCACAGAGATCTTTTTGACATTGTCACGAACGAATCGTAATGTGTCGTAATGCAATCGTAGTGCAAAAATTTTTACCATTTCGGCGTTGGTATCAATACAATTACGTAACCCAGATCGACGTAACGTCGATTTCGAAAACGTCATAATGTTCGAATGCGAGTGAATGAGATCCTTATATTTCTTCTTCGTAGGAAATGAACAGAATAAGTGAGCCAAATAGCATAAACATACAAATGGTAATTGCTTCCATCTGTGACTTAATGCACCATTCATTTACTCGTCACGTCTTTTAACTTTTATCTGCTGCAAGGAGCGGGCATTATATAAGAGAGGTATAGTAAGAAACAGAGGATGATAAGAGGTAGAACAAAAAAAAAGAGAATAAATTTGAATTGCATAATGGTCTGAGGGAAATGTACATGGAAAAAAATGTACATTTTTATTATATATATTAAATATTAATTATTTATACAAATTACAAATATAAAGTATAGCTTTGATTATTTTCTCGTTCTTTGACATAATTGTAAACACTTTGGATATAGTTGTGTGTCTATATAAAATGCTGCTACAATATTATAATTCTTGCCTCGATTATCCTTTACGATTTCTTTACGATTCCTCTTTCGTTCTTTTTTAATGTAAAAGTACTAATAGCTTACAAAATAGTTGGAGATTGAGAAAGATCAACAGAAATATATTTTGCAATGTTAAATCTTGAAAAGAACAGATCAATATAAAAATAAATAAATTTGCAAAAGACGGAGGGTAAGAATTCCGAGACGATGTCGTTCTGTGTGGACATTGTCACCGAGGATTCCTTCTACGAGAATCTGACCCTCGGCGTGGTCAAGATCCTCGAGGGCTCGCCGTGCGTGAGAAATGTGCGAGTCGAGAGGCGAAACGGCTGCGAATCCGGCGCCATTACCACCTGGGAGCAACGCCATTGCTGCACGCTTCCCGAGGACATCCGGAATTTTTACGCCTCCATCGACGGTTTCCTGCTACAGTGGAATCTTGATATATCAGGTATTCTCGATGAATTTTTTAATTTCTAGCTCAATGTAATCCTCCCGTAATCCTTTCGCTCATCGATTGTATTTTTTCCATTTCAATATTTATATATGCCCCGTAAAATTATATCCTATTTTTATTTTATTTTATTTTATTTATTACATGTAATTTTATCCATTAGAAAATTTTTTTCTTATATTATTAAAATAATATAAAAAATATTATTAAAATAATATTCCATATAATTTTGTAAATTATAAACTTTATAAATTATCATCATCATATTACAGGTTTATTGTAAATTTGTAGATATTTATTATTCCAAGTTAGCAACACATTTTAAGATATAATTTCATTTATTTAATATAATTTGTGATTTTTAAGTAAAACTGCGAATAAAAGAGTAATCCCTTTTTATGCAAAAATGGTTATCGCCTTCGAGACTTAGGGTTCGTCTGAAAACTTCCGAAGATATGCATTTATCTTTGAATGTTGGATTTCATGTTGTGATAATGTGATAAAAATCATTAATTCCTAATCACTGAAACCATTAGTTGCTGATTTCTCCTAAAGCTTGCGTGTCACGGACTCTTTTACCGCGTTCAGCATTTTGCTATCAACAATCCTTAGATCTATCAAAGAATCTTTCATTCGGCAAAGTAAACAGTACACTGAGATACATTAATCAGTGTAGTCATAATTCAGTTGTCCAAATAATGAGAGATTATAATCAAAGCGGCACCGTCGAAAAGACATCACGTAATCATTTAAAAAGGCTTTTGATGTTCCAAAAATACTTTATACTTTCACCCGGATTTTTACTCGTAGCAGTGTAGAAGACTTATTGATCTCAAACTGATGGCTTTAATTCACCGACACTAATTCGAAGATTTCATGTCGATACCAGGCGAGGAATTCTCAATAGGTCGTATGGAAATCGGCGGTCTTTCGTCGCTAAAGAGATACGTCGGCAAGGATCGGCAGGCGGGACCATCGACGCAAGAATCGGGGGCCCAAGGAGGAAACGTCACCGCGGAGCCGCAGGATGCCATGTTTTCCGGGGACTCGCGCGACTGCAAACTCTTCGAGATCGGCCAGTGCTTTCCGGGGCCCGAAAACAGTAGGATCTATTTGGCATATCGTTCTAAACAGGAACAGAACTCGCCGAGTATTTGGCTCCATCGAGGCAGCGGCTGGTACCATCTGGCTGACAATTTTACCACGTACTTCCGCATGATGCTGGTTCATTTGGGCCTGCCACTGTGGCAGTGTTGCGTCGCCGGGTTGCCCCTGCCTACCTGGGTCGAGCAAGCGTATTTTCTGATCGGGCCCCATCTGTTGCCGTCCACCGTCGAGCCTACCGAGTCTGTGTCTGTTTCATTGTGGAATAACGGACCCGTTAACGTTCTTGATCCGGCTATCTTCAAGGCCAAGGATAATAAGCAGAGAAACGCTCGCAAAAAGTGAGCTTATTTCAGTATTGGTACTTGACATTTTTTACGAAAGCAGAGTTCCGCTCAAGATCAAGCTGATAATAAAGAAAATTTGTAATCTTTGCAGATTCCCAATAGATCCTACCACAACATAGTGAAATATTCTTTCTAATACTTTATCACTGATTGAGTATAGATTACTATAGATGAATACGTGTAATATGTGATCACGAGTATCAAACAGTGAAAAATGGGTTTTCTCACTTTTCTCGCCATGTATCTATAGATATATACAATATAATAAATAACCAAACATTCCAGATCTAGCAAATTGTAGATATTGGAATACAGATTCAGAAGATAAGTGATTATTTGAGAATTGGATGCAGCTCTGCAATGCGGAACCAATTCCAAAACCTTATTTTTCTGCTAGAACGCGAAATATTAGAAATAAAATTCTGCGCCAACGTTATCATATATCAATGACCGAACTATGATCCGAAATACAATTCCAATTTGTGTTATTTACTTTTTTAAAAACGCATATTACAAACTTTTACGATCACTTTGCAATACAGAACTAAAAATCACGAAAATGCGCTTGGTTCCTTATTGCATAACTGCATCCAATTAAGATATAAGGAGCATTTGGAGTTTTTAGATAATTCATTAATCTATAAAAAGAAAAAATATTTAATATATTTATATATACTAAATATATCTTAGGTTCTCGGAAAATGTGTAAATATTAAATCTCAAATTTAAAAAATCGGTAAATATTTAACAACCGAAATGAATCTATAATATGTAAAATATATATTTATAGCGAATATCCTAGACCCGACCAAAACTATTAACAATTTTAAATTATGAAAGATAATTTTATCTAAGAATTAATATCAGACTATTATATAATATATAATAGATAAAAAATTAATATATCTTGACAAATCAAATTTCAGAGAGATTTAAGTAGATACAAAATAACTTACTTTGTGTTTAAAATCAAATATATTTATCTATGGAAAGAATCATGTTCCTATAACATGAAACTGTAATTAGCGAAATTATGCTTGAGCTATCGAATTACTTATGATTTTTAAAACTCTTCATTATTTTAGTTAAGTATAATATTAATATTTGTATACATGATCATATTAATATTAGGTATATATAATTTAATTAAATTTTCAAATTTAATTCAAGTATTTAATTTAAGTAAATTTCCGAATGATTTATCAAATTATAATTATAACTTTTTCTTATTACGGAACGTATCTAATTTCTAATTATACTTATTAATGCAACATCTTCATATGCTCCGCGACAATGACGTAAAAAAAGCGCGAGAAATTCAACGAGACAGAGAAGCCTTTTCCCTTCTTCATCTAACCCTTGGCCCAGTTGGCACCGCGATTACACAAAAACGCCCGATTGGCAACGTAGTTGGCGGACGCAGTCTGCGACAAGACGCAGTCGTGTCGTCGCCATTCCCGCAAACGTCCGCGTCACTCTCTTCTTTTTCGTCGTTTTACTTTCGTCGTACTCTTATATTTATACAGTTCTACGGATTACCTAATGAATGTGAAGTTAGTTATTCTCGGCGAAAATTCGACGGAGGCTCTAAATGTGAAGTTATATAACTCTTATACTGTTATACTAGATTGATCTTATATACTATCTTATTTTTCCATATATATCTATCGTGTATTATTAATCAAACTCAATCGAAAAAAACTTAAGATAGCTTTTTTTAGCTGAGGTTCAAAAGCATCAAAAATTCAAAGTCAAGGAGTCAAGAAGTGAAGATAGAAATGTCATATATCACAGAAATCTTTATATATCTCAGCTATTTTTAAATGAATTCTGTTACAGACGCGTTTAGTTGGGCTGAACTAGATAGTTTCCCGTTGTACAATTCTCCCAGTAAACAGTATCGGGATGTTTGGCACATTCCATGCTTCAAATGTAGAAGATAATATAAGTTGATCGAATATCAAGATGTTTCTCACGACGTGACAACGAGCTTTAAGTTCGTCACTTCGATTCGATTGATTTCAATAAGCAGCTATTGCCTCCCTTCAAGAAAACCTTTAATAATGATTTTGGCAACACATTTCTGCTCGTGATAGCACGAATATCCACTTGGCACATGTCCCAGGACTTGTTCCCCGAGACAGGTGTCGATTTTTAATTTAACCACATTTATCCGAGGATTATCAGGTAAATGAAAATTACACCGAATGACTATAAGAGTGTTCACAGGTCTCCATTTTAAAGTTGAATTCCGAAAATAATCGATCGCGGCCTAAAAGGTAATCAAGCGCCAATTGTTACCACGATGGAAATTTTTGATTGCAGTATCCCAATCAGTATATCAAAATTAAATTGAACATACCATAAACGTCTTCCGCGTATCGCGTTTCTTCAGCAGGAGATTCCTCACGAGCATCGCCCGCAGTTGGGCGAAGTAGAGCGCGCACGAATTCATCCTGCGTGATGCATTCACCCTCTCGTCTGCAACAGAAACATCGACAAACTAAACGACGGCGAAATTTCAATGTTTGACGAGTAACAGAAATAAAAGCTCAAATTTTGTTGCAAATATTGTTAGCAATCCATTTCGATCCAATTCTAATTTGATTTTAAAGCATAGAAAAAGATGTTATTGCATAATACTTGCCAAGAATAAAAATGGACAAAAATGAATCGTTCTTCTACAATTTTAAGTGAGCATTTATTTCGAATTAAAATTTATATAATTTCAAGCTTAATTATTAATTTTTACATATCAAGTTAAGCAATTTAGATAGCATGTCATCTTGCATATGATATGATATTGTATACTAACAATAAGTATTTATTCGATATTATACGTGTGTATTACAATCATATTGTTTTCCATTACATTATCATTATGCAACAAAATGTTGAGCTTATTTACAACTTTTAATAAAGATATGAGTATGTAATATAATAACAGTAAAGACCCTTGCACGATCCCAGGCAACAGGCGATAGGAACAGGGAATAATAATAGAATTTCTGACGCGTTGGATTTCTGTTCTCAATTGTCTGTACCTGACCAATCACAGTGATTTGATTTTATATGGCGTTTTTAGTGATTGATCAGGTACAGGCAATAGAGAATAGATTCCAACGCGTCGAAAATTCTGTTCCCATTCTCTGTTGCCTGGCATTGTGCAAGGGCTTCAATAAATCTTGTTTCCCATATGTTTTCTGTAAATTTTCATTAATTCCATTAATTTGCATTTAAAAGCTCGTTGAAAAATTAATGCATTTATGTATTAAAATCAATGTATTTATAAGCAAATTAAATGCATATATTATTGTTCATTTTCTCTCGCGCGTGTGAGTAAACTATAAATGCGATCGACAGTTAAAAATAGAAAGCAATAAGATATATATAATCTGTCGTCTATGACGGAACGTAAACTTGCCACTTAATTAATGTTTCCACGGAGAAGCAGAATATCTCGCTCTTTCTCGCTCTAACGAGTAACGCACGGAAAACGACGAGGAGGAGAAACTAAACTCCGGATGTAGGCGTCCAACTGTAGAACAGTCGCGCTCTTCTCGATTAATTAGCTGAATTTGTTTGCACAACTGCGAGACACGTTCTCCCCCTTACATCTTCTCTGTTCGCTCTCCTCACTCGTTTGCTCTCTGCAGTAAATTCGCGTGGTAACAATATAGTTGTGCCAAGCGTTCGACATTTACGTTAATTAATTGTTTGCGACAATCACATTTGAAAGCTCAATCGGATTGTGTACAAAATAATCCTTCATAGAACTTATTCTCGGTGTCTTAACACCGTTCCAGCTATGCCTGACTAAGCATAATTTTTATCGCCCTCTTGAGGGGATTTCCTTTCTCCTTCTCTTATAATTTCTTTTAATAATGCTTCTTTAAATGGCGTAGTGCAAAATAGATAAATCCACCCATTTAATCGTTCAGTGGATAAAACGAGTAGATTAATCCGAACGATCGGTAAAATGTTAATATTGTAATATACAAAACAACGTATAGAATTTTCAAATAATATGCACGCACATTGCAAATTATAGTTTTTTTTTTAATACATTACAATTATATGTTTTCTTTGATCAACTAACTCACTTTATTATCTCTTTTATTATTTTAGTATATATGTAATGTATAATATAATCAACATTTTAAAAAAGACTGAATTATAAAATATGGAATAATTATAAAAAATAAAATAATGTTTGCAAATTGAAAAATAATTACTTTTTAACTTATACCTTATATTTACTTTGTATATAACCGTTCTTACACAAGAAAAAGAGAAATAATTTATTCTTCTTAGAATCACAAATCATTCGAAAAAGATCTATAATTTCTGGAGGAAGCGTGCGGTCGAAAGAGCAAATTTTCTAAAGTATTTGATCTCTTGAAAGGCGGAAGGGAAAAGCCTTTCTCTCGTGTATAAACCTTGTTTAAATAAAACCCTCAAATACACAAAGCAGTGTAGATATCTTCTATATTAATCCTTTTGCAATACCGACGATTTCGATAAACGCACGGGCTGCGATGCTTGGAGTTAGTTCGGACCCCATTCTTATACCTGTTTGAGATCTTCATTTATTTCAAACAAAGTTTGAATTGTTGAAAAGGTTCTATCGCACTATTAAAAAATACATTTTTTTTTTCGACATGCCTGTCATTATCGCTTTAATATAAATAAATGACACAGTCGTCAAGTGCTGAGGTATAGTTTTCTAGGTCTAAATGAGACTCGAACTCTCGCTCGGCGAGAATTAAAATTCATCCTTTTAAATTTTCTTGTTTTGCGATCCATTCAATTATACAAAAATTTCGTTAAATTTATGAAAAAAAAAAACGGTTGATATAAATGCGAGAGTATACTCACATTAATTCTGAAGTGCGCCGAGTCTACGTCCAAGAAAATGACTCTACTCTGCCGTACCCTCTATTTGACTATGATTGCTGGCGTTGCTGCTGTCGGTGATTCCGGTGACGGTGCCGTTGTTGTTCCCGGTGCTGTCGTCGTTGTTACGTTGCTGGACGCTGCCTCCGTTAACGACGACAATCGATTCGCGCTGCTGAGACGTTGCCTTACCACGTGACACGACGGCGGCATCGCAGCGACGGACGGTGTGCTTGGAACCGCGTCCGCAACCATTATTGTTGCTCCTCGCCATGCTTGGCGCCGCTAACAACTGCACCGAAAACGAAGGCCAAGTCGTTAGTCCTTCAATCTTATCATTTCGTAAGAAAATAATACATATAATAATTATAATATTTTTAATCCCACCTAAAACATAAAGGAGAACCACTTCAAGATCTTATAATAATAGACTGTTCTTTGTGTGATGTTATCTTCAATGAAAGCCTTTTGTTTTTCTAGATTATTTTTAGGGAAAACTTAAGCTCTCTCTAATTTTTTAAAATACTTGATATTTAAATTATTTTCGCATTATATTAATTATATTTTATAAATTATTTTTTTATTAATTATATTTTATAAATTAATTTTAATTATACAAACTTTTATTAAAAGGTCAAACATTCTAGAATTAAATTTCGTAACTTTATCAATATTCCCCATCTTTAAATAGTCATTTGTATATAAAACTAGATATATCTTATTAAAATCTGTAAATTTAATGAAACTTACAAAAATATAGATTTTTTAATAAAGCACGCGATAATCTAGAAAACGCAATAAACGAATTTGGAGATTTTCCAGCTGTTGCCAAAAAGCTTTATAGACGATAAAACCACCCGTCACAAACAATTCCTCTGATAGAATTCGTAAAACGTTCAAAGTATCGCAAAATACTTTATACCAAAAAAATTTTACCTTGTAAAATCATCTTCAATTTGTTGAGCTAACTTGTCGAAAATGTCAAAATGTCAAAATGTCGAAAAAACAAACAATGCAAATCAAAAAATGACGAATTCTGTTGCGGATTTTCATTACTATATACATACTCCGGGAACCGTTCGCAAACAATAGACCAATCTAACAGCATAATTTAATGTATTGTAAATTAATGTTAAAAAAAAGAGATATATATAAAAAGGGGAGAGAAAGAGCGAAACCTACCTCCGACCGCAACCAGGTCAAACTACCCTGCGGTCGATGAACGTGATTTAGGAACGTGCCTAGATGAAGACCAAGGGAATAAGCCTTCCGCAGTCTGAAGTTCTTTCTCTTGATTTTCCTACGTTTTCCCATCCGATCATGTCCGCAAGAAGATCATCGCTTAGCTGCAATACGTCCTTTTACCTGCGGAGCAAGAAAAATTGTCCGATAATTGCATGAATTTTCCGATTGGTTTACGTATTGTGTAAAAAGTTTAAACATTAAATGGCATTTAAGACTAATTAACCATTCAATGTAATAACTTGTTCAATCATATATATGTATATATGTCTGTTAAAACAGAGATTTATTATGTCAGAAAAATCCTTTATTTATATTATAGAGATTCTTTATTGACTGTACGTTGCCGTTTCTAGATATGGAAGATCGATAACATAATAAAGCAATTCCACTAGTATAATTCCTGTTCAAAAATTCATAAAACAGCATTCTGCTTGTTATGTTATTAGTACCAAAAGTTAATATTCGAATTTTCCAATATAAATTTTTTATAATATAAAAATTCTCTGTGTGCGCTTCATACATATTTTTTATATAAAATTAATTCTCGATGTTATTCGAATAATTGGACTTATTTGAAATTATTCTCATCAATTTTTATAAATATTATTTTAATTAATATCTTCTACTGATAAACTATACCTAACTACCTTGTGACAGACCAGATAAAATTCGTAAATAATTTTACTAATTTTAGAAGTATATATCTTTCTTTGTAAAAATTCAATATATTCAAACGTTTTTTATGTAACATATAAGATTAATTGCCTTATATATTTAATATAATGTAATAAGATTGTCTTGCTAGTACAATCTTGTTGCACTTTATGGCGCTGCTGCTTTGATCAAATGTAACATTATTACATATAGATCCTTAATTCCTTGCTCACCTCTTGCGGTTCTAAATACGGAAGATCAATAATATTATTAAATGGTTCCACGTGTTCGTGACACAAATAACATCCTTACTCATTGACGCAAGAAAAATTCTAGGTTTTACTAATCTTTGCTTATGTACCTATCAAAAGAATAATCCACCTATAATTCTATTTATTATTAATCGCCATTTCTTAGTACTCATTAACTCAATTATAATATTATTTGTAGTGCATTTTTTCTGTTTTAGATTTTATTTATTTCAAAATCTCGATTTTTATAAGTATATATTTAGAACGTTTAATTATTTCTTGGAAATAATTTAAAGTCATGAAAGTTTCGTATTTTTATCTTATACAGTATTTTTATGATAAAATAATGTAATATTGAATATCACTAATATAATAAAAGAAGAAATAAAATTTTCTTTCGACCAACCAC